ACAGAATCCTCACTGGAATACTTCATGCTTTAAAAGGTTCTTCCTGCGTATTCTATACGTCACTGTCAGGATAGAGTGGAGCAGAGTCTTCATATCGGGTGCAAACATTCACCCTGAGCTAGATTTAGCAGCTAAATCCCAGTATATTTTTAATAGCAAATTTGAAAACAAAGAGAACTGTGGCTGTTTTTTCAGGACCTCTAAAACAGTTGCAATCAAATAATTACATAAGACACCAGACCCTTTTTAATGGGATGCACTAGGGCAGTGGTTCCTAAACTTGTTCCGCCGCTTGTGCAGGGAAAAGACCTACCACGTCCGCAGGTTCGGCCGATTGCGGCTCCCACTGGTCGCAGTTCGCTGCTCCAGGTCAATGGGAGCTGCTGGAAGTGGCGTGGGCCGAGGGACATACTGGCCGCCGCTTCCAGCAGCCCCTGGAGCAGCGAACCTCAGCCAGTGGGAGCCACAATTGGCCGAACCTGCAGACGCGGCAGGTAAACAAACCGGCCCGGCCCGCCAGCGGCTTTCCCTGCACAAGCGGCGGAACAAGTTTGGGAACCACTGCACTAGGGGATATAGATTAACCTTTATCTGTAAACTGTTAAAACATAAGTGATGTTATATGCTACATCTGCACAAGGGCTTTGATGGCCTTACGGGATGCATGCACTAAACTTCCTCTTCTGGGGGCTTGAGTTCAAAACCTAAACTTAGATTAGCATTGAAATTAAGTTCCCATCCCCTGTGCACCTTTGTCTCCACTGCCATATCAGTACACTATAACTTAACACACTTCTCAGACCCTACAGAAAATCTGATCAGGACCAGTCAGACAGGGTGGCTCAGGTTGAGAAGATTCAGGTGCTTTAGCGCAGCCTTATAAAGAAGCCCACACTAATGGGGTCCCTGCTCTTTTTGATGCATTCATGTTAGTGCTAATTGTGCATTGATGGAGCCTAAGTATTTGTACCTAATATTTTCAGTCCTCCACTGTCATTAGTTTCCAGTGCACAAAATGTGCCTCCACCCTAAACCTGAAATATTGACTTCTATGGGTGAGAAGTTAATTCATTCTCTATGGCCCATTTAATCCATGGCTTCTCTGCTGAGACTTCCAACCAGATTAGCCCATGAGCGCCACTTGGGGTGACAGCTTTTGCTATGTGGACACATAACTCAGCTTTTAAAAGTCACCACTGAAGTAGTCTTAGTCCAGTTCCCTGGGGACAAATATCCACATCACAAAAACCACCAACCCCATTGGCTCTGATTGGCAACACTGCACTCACCAGAGAAACTCAGTGGACCATGGAGGCTAAGCTCCCCTCTTGTTTCTAGAGGTGGTTGCTATGGTCAGATAAGAGGCACGTTCATGAGGCAGTGTGTGAGGAAGCTACCTCTGCTGATACCTATTATGTAGACACTGAATTTCAGTGACCAGGGCAACCAATCTGGTGTCTCATGATTCTAAGCCTCCCTGGGATCTCTCACACAGCAGTAGACCCGCCTGCCAACCCCACCTGGTAGGTGACAGCACATCATCAAGGCCTACATAGACACATACACACAGAGAGTAAAATATTTCTACAGATTAAAACAATGCTGGAATGGGAGCAGGAGAGAAGGGGGAGATCATGAGAATCGTAATAAAAGAAACAGGCTATCCTGTGGTCAACTGCATCTTTTTCCAGGATCTGCTTATGTGACTGACCAGGCTATGTCCTTCCTGGTGCTGTCTTCAGACTCCTGCAAGGGTCTGGCTAGCTTTACCTTTAGCAAGAGCTAATGGAGCGCCCCCTTGCTTTATAGTCTCGCACTCAAAAAGCAAAGGAAGGTCAGATAAGGACAGATAATTTTTTTATGAAACAGGAAGTTTTATAATCTCCACACCTGCCACTGCTGCTCTGTGCGTAATCATTGGGAGCTTTCAAACTCTACAATTAATAGGCCTCACTTTCAAGCTGGCTTTGCAATTAATTGTGCTCCCTTTCTCTCTTTCTTTCCCTTTCTCTCTCCTCCCACCTCTCCTTCTGCAATAAAACTCCAGACACTTCCTAGTTTATTAGGATGCAAAGGAAGGATTGGGAAAAGTTCTGAATAACTTTTTAAGTGATTCCGTATGACTCTCCAGCACCTGCCCTCATCACAAGTTGGAATGTGCTTCCAGTTTCCCAAATGCTCATTTATTTTCATAAACCTTGTGGAATCCAGTTATTTCACCTATAAAGATCCCATTGGCGAAAAACAGGAAATTTGACCACAAGAGCCCTACCTGGTCCAGACTAAGGAACACCCAGCTGCCTGGCTCAGACTCATCTCCTAACATCCGTTTCAGGGGAATAAAAAGGAGAATTTATATCCATTAACAGTTCTGCATGATGCTCTCCAGGCATATTTCTGAATTGCCTAATATCCTCTCTGTTCATTCCAATAATGCTTTGTTGTTGCAGTGATACTGAAGAATTAGGTGCTGGAGTGTTATGTGTCACAGCAATACCCCTAGTTTTGTTCTTTAGAATTTTCTTGAGCTAGGATTGCCGCTCTCTAATAATCTGCACAGCTGTATAGGAGACCTGACGTCTAGCCCCTGAGCTGGCAAGACACAACAGTAGCACTAGTTTAGGATAAAGATTCACCCCACTCAACAACAAACTATTCACCTTTTGAGTACAGAACGTGATTTTGCTGCTGTGCATTCTTAGAAGGACACACTATTCCAATGGAATATCAGCATTTTAGTTCAGAAAGCTCATAACTGGATAGATTATCAGTTCTGAAGCCATTAAGATGGCTTCTGAAGGGAGTTCCATCCAGTCGACCTTGAGCAAAAGAGATAATACACTACATTTTTTCCTGATGTTCCTTGTTTCCACTGAGTCTAGTGGATGAATTTAATCCAATACCACCACCTTTCCTTTATATAGTACTTTGCATAACAATGTACTTCCAAAACTATATGCATACACAATGGAATTACTTTCCTACCATGGAAAGGCAGTCACCTCTGATGTTGCACACCACCCAGCAAAACAACCCAACCCCTCAGGAGAGGTAGTATAGATTATGATGTTTGTAAGACTTCAGGCTGAAAAAAAATGTGGGCTGCAAAGTGGTATTAAAGTAAAGAAAAATTGGGGGAAGCATTAGGGATCTTTAATGGTCCCATGAGAAAATTAGTCACTTCATTAAAACCTTGCCCCAAATGTATCCCTTGTGTAATTACATCATTCTGTAGTTACAGTAGAATGATTGTGGACTGCTCTATTTTCTCTGACTTCCCATACCTTGTTTCGCAGGGTTTCATAAAATAATGATGTTTAGGTGCTTTACCTGCAGTTTCAGCAGTGTTGGTGATTTACCTCCTATTTTTAGTCTGACGTAAATTCTCTAGAAATGGACCCTCCGACTATGCCCGCTGCATTGCCCTGATATATGTGCAGTTAGATTCTTTGGGAATGCAAAAGAGATGAATAGCTATCAACAAATTTCTGAATTACAGAAGAAAACAAAGAACAATGGGAATTTGATTTACAATACCAACAAAGAGATAAGAATTACTGTGTACAAGACCTTTTCGAAGTTCTCCCTGGAAAACTCCCTAGTAAGAGGTTTTATTTTATTTTCTCATCCCACTTAAAATCCTGCTACGCATATATTACATGTCCTGATGAGCTGCATGTTAACTGTATTCTTGTGAATGTAACATATGGGATGCCCCCACCTTTCTTGAAAAATAAGAGCCTCCAGTACAATATATTTCTTTCATCTAATTCATTCTTTTATCTCTTTTCATGTCATGATGGTATTTCAGGCATATATGTATTTTCTATCATGATGTTTGTATTCACTAAAATATGATCAAGCACCCTGATGTCAGTGTTAATTGGGAAGAGTGGATGCCATAATGATATTGTACTAATAGGTACCGTCGTGACGCTGTAGGATTATATTTTCTTCATTTTCTAAACAGACTCTGACCTGGATATATTTTAAAGTCAATTTCTGTATGAAGGTAGCTCTAACTGATTCTGTGCCATATTTTGCAAGAATATAAATTTGTTAGCACCACTGTTTTGACCATCTTTTAATCGGCACACCTACTGTAAATTCCCCCTGCTGTTTCAGTTGGATGTGTGATTCTTCACTTCCAGTGCTAAACTGTTGGATGATTTTGCAGTATGCTGTTAAACAGCTGTCACATACCACACTAGAATGGCTGCTTTTGAGTTCTGGAGAAATTATTCCTATGTGCATATAGTATTTAAACCACATTGAGATTAAAGGTATTTTCCAAATATATTATCATTATTTATTATTATATTATATTATTATTATTATTGAAAAGTGGGTCTCAATTACACTGGATTTCAAATTGGAAATGATTGGTTCGGTTGTTTAATTTATATCTCCTCCATCCTTCCCTCGGTAAATTAGGAATTTGATTCAGTGTTGCCAATTCTTGCAATTTTTATGACAAGCCTTGCAATATTTGATGTTTTCCATAAAGCCCCAGCTGCTGGACTGATGGAGTTATGCAAGACTCACATCTTTCTTTTTTTTCTTTTTCTTTTTTAAAAAGGAAGTTTCTAGCTGACAAATGCTTGAAAATGTGACCCCACTGCAACCTAAAGGCTCAAAACCCAGAAAGCAAAAAGTACCCAAATTTATTTTTTAAAATAATCTGATGGGATTGGGGGGGGGGGTGCTATCTTTTTTTTAATTTTACATGTTTTGGGTTCTCAGTATGTGGACTTTAACCTGGAATTTACAGTAACTGTGAAACTAATGGGTGAAAGAAAATGCATCCTATGTTCTCCTTCCTCTTTTGCCCACGATATGCTAGTACAGTATTTATAGTGTATCTTGTAATTCCCATAAAGTTTCCTGATTGTTTGTAAATGAATTTTGGAATTTAAAGGAAAAATAGTAATGGTTTAAATGCAATAAGGAATCTTTGATCTGTTGCCTTAGCCGCTGTGTAACAGGTGATGTATTCACAGGATTTCTATGAAGAGGTCTTGAAAGTGCTGGGGGATGAGGATGAAAATGAGAGGGAGGAGGTGAAGCTCAAGCAGGGCTTGAGTGAGATCCCTGAAATCTACAAACTACACCAGGAGATACTGGGAGAGCTGGAGGAAAGAGTCCTCAATTGGTAAGTGACAACTTAATGGCTTCATCTCATCCTCAATATATTCAAAATATTTTGATTTTCCTTTATTCCAGGAACCATGGGCAACAGGGTTAAGATTCAAACAGAAGAAAGAAAAGATGCTAAACATCTTTAATAGGGTTTACATATAGGTTGACCAGGATGGGTAAGGAATGGTGTCCCTAACCTCTGTTTGTCAGAGGGTGGAGATGGATGGCAGGAGAGAGATCACTTGATCATTACCTGTTAGGTTCACTCCCTCTGGGGCACCTGGCATTGGCCACTGTCCTCAGACAGGATACTGGGCTGGATGGACCTTTGGTCTGACCCAGTATGGCCATTCTTGTGTTCTTATGTTGAGGGAGGTAAACTTACAGGGACACTGTAAGGTTGGGAGACTGAATTTTCTTGTCTATGCCATGTTTCTGTATTGTTATTTTACCTACCAAAAAATACAAACATCTCAGTGCTCCTGCGCTACCCTACAATGATAAACCATTGTATACAGCCCCATACTCCTAAGCAGCCCCATAAATCAGTGTGTGTGCAGCCCATCTCACGTGAACTGTCATTTGCTATCTGTTTGTACAGTGCCTAGCCCACTGGGGCCCCAATCTGGTTGAGTCCCCTAGGTGATTGTAAAAAAACAGTCTAATGTGTATGGACTGTGATAGACTCAAATACCAGGAAGGGGAAACAGGCAGGAAAAAACCCTCAGAGGCATTAAAAAATATAGGAAAATATCTTTTCTTAAATTTTAGATCTCATAGAAATTGAAATAAATTAGAGCAATTCTCATGGCAACTTCCTAATATTATAGCTCCCGGATAAAAGAAACCCACTCAGAGTTTGAACAAGCCTTTGCTGGGGTGAGCTTTCAGGCTAAACACAATCTTTCAGGGTTGCTGAGGGTCTCTGCCTAAACCAAACTGTCCTAGCTGGACTAAATCTTACCAGGATAAAGCACGTCTCTGTCTTGCCTAGACAAAGTCTTTCAGTGCTAGAGCAAATCTTTTAAGCTGGATAGGTCCTTGTCTGAGCCATGCTTCCAAACTAAAATGTATCAACTAGCTGGGACAAGCCTCTGACTAAGTAAGACTAACTTCACTCCCAAACTGGCTAAATCAATGAAATCCACGGAAGTCCTCTGTCTAATCCAAACTCCCTGGCTAATCTGACTCTTTCAGAAGCTGGGGCAAGCTTTATAGCTCCTTAACTCCACCCCCACTGAACTCCAGCCAATCAGCAGTCACCTTCAATGACAGACCACTCTATCCCAGGGCGTCCACAAAATAGATTATAAATAAATAATAGTAACAAGCCTATATGCACAGTGCAGGCAGCACTCCTGAACAGCTCTACAGCAAGAAATCAGAGTGCACAACAGAGGAAAAGTTAATGGGATATCATATGTGGGTTTCCATCTTCCAAGGGAATTGTTGTAAACAACAGTGAGGTTGAAAACAATTCTGTAAATGGTTATGCTAAATATGCTATTAAGAAAGGTGGGTTCCCGATCCTTTTTGCTGCTGTAGATGTTCCAGGGGCCTAAAATAAATGTGCATTGAAAAATCTGAAAATGTGCACTGGCTTTAGACTTTAAGTACTAAGCAGGCCCCTGAATCCCCAGTACCCCTCCCCACATCTGGCACTGCATTCTCTGTTACTCCCAGGGCTGCTGGCCAGTCCCTCTGCTGTATTCTCGATCATTCTGAAATTCACGAGGCCACTGTTTAAAACCAGCCCCACAATCTCCATTACCCTGACGTCTCCTTGGCCTCTGTTCATTAGCAGCCCTGTACCCTCTGTTACGGCCCTTTTTGGCTGGCTCTGTCTCCTGTAGATAATTCACCTTCGGTAAATAATTAAATTGTGTGCCCAGATGAGGAATTGTAACATGGGTAAGGAGAGGGAGCTGTGAGTGAAGGGGATCCAACGATGGAGCTATTCTCACACTAATGCCAGCACTCAGAGCAAAGGTTCTCGTTCACTCTGGTGGAACTGGAAAGCTTGCTTGGAGAAATGTGAGCTATGTGAGCCCATAAAGAAGACATTCTGCCCAGCATGTACATATATAGCTGCGGTAGGTAGAGTTACAGAAAGGGGACTGGCCCCAGACAAGGCCCATTCTTCCACAGCCCATTCTGTTGCCCAGCACTTCGGTGCAGTGTTGTCCATTTCCTGACAGTTAAACCCAGGCCTTAACTTAGATCTCCTAATGGCATTAGCAGGTATGGGGCTGATTAATAGAATTTGTGTAACCAGAATGAAGTGGGGCATTTTTTGTTACTTATTGGCTTGTTCTACTCTTTCTGTGGCTTTAGGGAGGAACACCAAAAAGTGGCCGATGTTTTTCTCTCAAGAGAATCAAGGTTCAAACACCACACAGCATACATTATGCAGTTTGATAGGAATTTGGCTTTGCTCGATGAAACCTGCCTTAAATCTTCCCAGCTGGCTACTGTCATCCAGGCATTTGAGGTGAGGCCCCTCTCACTTCTCTATTTGCATTAATTTATGGTTGCTCCGCATTGCTTTCTCAAAGATATTCCTGCCTGCAACTTCACTAGCCTTCAGACAGGGTGTGGAGGAAGAATCTTAATGATCACTTGCAGAATACCCTCTGGAGAGACACATGGAGTGAAATGTCTGTTTCTGTTGTAATATCACAACTTTCATGTCTGTAATCGCTTGACCAGAGAGATTGAAGTGTTCTCCGACTGGTTTATGAATGTTATAATTCTTGACATCTGATTTGTGTCCATTTATTCATTTACGTAGAGACTGTCCAGTTTGACCAATGTACATGGCAGAGGGGCATTGCTGGCACATGATGGCATATATCACATTGGTAGATGTGCAGGTGAACAAGCCTCTGATAGTTTCTAATGTGATGGATATGCCCTCTCTCCCCTGCCACAGCAGCGCCCAAACTGGGGCTGGGAAGGAGGGGGGGGTCTCTCCCTCTCTCCCTGGCCGCGGCAGCCCCCGAGCTGGGGCTGGGAAGGCAGGGGGTCTCTCCCCCACCACAGCAGCTACAGAGCTGAGGCTGGGAAGGAGGGCCGTCTCTCCACAGCAACCACAGCCCAGGAGCTGAGGAAAGTCGCCTCTTTCTCTGGCTGCTGCAGTCCTGCACATCCCAAATTCCCCCCACCCCCTCTTCTAATCCCACTGCCCCCTCCCACCTACCCCCCCATTCCTCCCAAGGCCACCACCTCACCTTACCCATGCGTTGTCTCCATGGCCCAGGCACCTAATTAGTGGAGCCACGCCTGCACGGCTCCACTAATTAGGTGGGTGGCCCTTCATTCTCTTGTGTGCTGCCGCCCAGGCGTGCACCTTAGAGGGAACTATCCGCGGACCACCTGAATGGAGCTTGTGGACCACTGGTGGTCCACAGATCACAGTTTGAGAATCTCTGGTCTAGGGCATCAATCAGTTAAATTGTTTTCTTCTCAAACTGCCTTTGGTGTTTTCCAAATGATTCTGACTGTCCCCTTTGCCGTCCGCCCAATGCCCCTGAGGCAGAGCAATCTCAGAGGTGCACCTTGGCCCCTGGTACACAGCAAGGGATAAGGGCTCCAGTGTTAATGCTTTTCATCAGTGTGTTGCTTTGAAGTTCAGCTACAATCAGAGTTAATAGGATTTTGATTTGAGTCATAAATCCAAGCTCAGGAGCGAACTGTGCTTTTGCTATCCTGGGGTTTCTGTTCACTCACAACTGTGTAAAGAAAGGAGTAAATAATCGTAAAATTAATGATGCATTTAAAAAAGAAAGGAAGAAAGATTAGGGTTCCCCCCTCCCCCGATTTTTAAGCTGGCACAGCTGTTTGCAGTTTTCACTACTTTAGGTGCTAAGGGCCAATTTTTCAAAAAACAGGATTGGGGTAGCAATTGCAAAATAGGTGCAGAAATATTTGCACCTCTGTGGTGGGTTTTAAGAGTGAAATTACAGGGGAGAGAGGTGGTGATCTTATTTCTGAAGTTCTAGCCAGAACCAAGGTAGCCTGAGTTACCCAAGCCATTAAACAGCCCTTCAATGCCAGATGATCCTTATGAACCTTTAGAGTTGGCCTAGATAAGGGGGTGGGCAAACTTTTTGGCCTAAGGGCCAAATCGGGGAATAGAAATTGTATGGCAGGCCATGAAAGCTCACAAAATTGGGGTTGGGGTGCGGGCTCTGGGGTGGGACTGGGGGTGAGAGGTTTGGGGTGTAGGAGGGTGCTCTGGGCTGGGACCGAGGGGTTCAGAGGGCAGGAGGGGGATCAGGGCTGGGGCAAGGGGTTGGGGCATGGGGAGAGGCTCAGGGGATGCAGGCATGGAAGCAGTGGCATGTCCCATCTCTGGCTCCTATGCCGAGGGCAGCCCGGTGGCTCTGCACACTGCCCCATCCACAGGCACCGCCCCTGCAGCTCCCGTTGGAGCATGTAGGAACCAGAGTGGGGCCATGCCACAGCTTCTGGGAGCTGCACGGTGTGGCCTCAACCCAGTGCCCTGGCCGGAGCAGGGACTGACCCAGCACCCTGGCTGGAGTGCTGGAGCGGGGCCAAGCCGCATGGTCCAGTGCCCCAGCTGAAGCGACCCCCAACCCAGCGCCCTGGCTGGAGCACTGGGGTGGGGCTGAGCCATATGGTGTGGCCCCGACCCAGCGCCCCAGCTGGAACGGGGCTGAGCTGCTGTGCCCCCAGCGCCCCAGCTGGAGCGGGGCTGAGCTGCTGGTGCGGCCCCCAACCCAGCGCCCCAGCTGGAGCGGGGCTGAGCCGCATAGTGTGGCTCACAGGCCGGCTTAAAACATCTCATGGGCTGGATCCGGACATGGACAGTAGTTTGCCCACCCCTGGCCTAGATACATCGGTGCACTTGACCAGGTTTCCTTGGTTGAAAGATTGCTGGACCATTAATGTTGATTTTCAATAAGTCTTGGAGCACTGGGGAAGTTCCAGAAGATTGGGAAAAAACTAATGTTCTGCCAATTTTTAAAAAGGGTAAATGGAATGACCTGGGTAATTATAAGCCTGCCAGTCCGACATAAATCCCAGGCAAGATGATGGAGCAGCTGATATATAATTCGATTAATAAAGAATTAAAGGAGGGTAATGTAATTAATGCAAATTAACATGGGTTTATGGAAAATAGATCCTGTCAAAGTAACTTGTTATCTTTTTTTGATGAGATTACAAGTTTGGTTGATAAAGGTAGTAGTGTTAACATAATATACTTAGACTTCTGTAAAGCATTTGATTTGGTACCGCACAACATTTTGATTAAAAAAACTAGAACAATATAAAATGAACATGGCACACATTAAGTGGATTAAAAGCTGGCTAACTGATTGGTCTCAAAATGTCATTGTAAAAGGGGAATCATCATTGAGCAGGTGTGTTTCCAGTGGGGTCCCTCAGAGATCGGTTCTTGGTTCTATGCTTTTTAACATTTTTATCAATGACCTGGAAGAAAACATAAAATCCTCACTGATAAAGTTTGCAGATGACACAAAAATTAGGGGAGTGGTAAATAATGAAGAGGACAGGTCACTGATTCAGAGGATAAACTGGGCACAAGCAAACAATGTGTGTTTTAATACAGCTAAATGTAAACATATGCAACTAAAAACAAAGAATGCAGGCCAAATTTACAGAATGAGGGACTCTAGCCTGGGAAGCAGTGATTCTGAGAAAGATCTGGGGGGCATGGTGAGTAATTGGCTTAATATGAGCTCCCAGTGGCCAAAAGAGCTAATGCAATCCTAGGAAGCATAAACAGGGGAATCTCAAGTTGGAGCGCAGAGGTTATTTTACCTCTATTTGGCACTGGTTCAACCACTGCTGGAATACTTGTCCAGTTCTGGTGCCCACAATTCAAGAAGCATACTGATAAATTGGAGAGGGTTCAGAGAAGAGGCACAAGAATGACTAAAGGATTAGAAAATGTGTCTTACAGTGATAGACTCAAAAGAGCTTAATTTATTTGCGACATGCTTTAAAGGTTATTTAGAATGACATGCTCCCCTTTTGCTGATAGATGGAATGATTCTTAATTGCAGACAACACGCATATCTTAAAGGTTGATTGCCTGCTGGGTGGCCAGTGCTATGTGCTGATCCTTTCCCGTGTCTCCCCACAGTTAAGAGAAAGGTTGATCCTTCATCTGTACACGTCCATTTATCTAGAACTTGCTGTAGCATGGGACGGTGGGCAGAGCTAGTAGACTGAACACAACATTAGGTGCCAAGAACACAAGAGTTCTGATCCTGTCTTTCCCACTGGGTCAGCGTGTAACCTTGGGCAAGTCATGTATTAACCTGATTGCAGTTCAGTTTCTGAAGATGCTAATAATTACCCTCTTCAGAGAGGTGTGGTGAGGGTCTGATAAGCTACTGTTTACACAGCATTTTGAATCTACAAGACTGTCAGAAAGTGTTCCCCATCTGTGGCACCCTCTGGCATCAGCACAACCAGTATGCCAGCCTCAGTTTCCCCTTGAAGGGTTCCAGAAATAGTCCAAGCTGTCTTTCTGAGAATAAATAGCCCTTATTGGGTTAATTTATTACAAAAGAAAACCCCATGCATATAAGCTATAAAAAAAACCAGGTCCACCAACATACAGCCCTGGCATTTCTCACCATGCTCAGGCTCTCTGCAGCTCCAGCATCTTTCCCCACAAAGTGAGAGCCCTCACCCCAGCCCTCTCTGATCCTCCAGATTCAGCTCTCTGGCTCACACAGCTAGCAGGCATCTCCCTCTTCTGCTCTCTGCCTTCAGTCCCCCCCCAAGCCTTCTCTGGCCAGAGCTCTCTGGCTCAGGAAAGCCAGCAGGCAACTCTCTCTGCTAGCTACCTGGCAATTCCTCCCTCTTTCCAGTGAGGACCTGAGGAGCTTTCTGATTGCTGCAGGTTTCCCCAAGCAACTCTCTACAGCTCCTTCTGTCTATTCTCTGCTCAAGGAGTTCTCATAGAATCAAGACGGGGGGGGGGGCCCGGGGTCTGCCCCCCCCCGCTGAAGCTGCCCCATTCTTGCCCAGATCTAAATGCCCCCTAAGGTTGACTCACAACCCTGGGTTTTCTGCCCCTTCCTATCTTTCTTCAAGGACCTCCTCCCTCTAAAGCCCAGCTGCCCTGTTTTAAGCCTACCTGGGGAGTCAGGTGCACTGGCCTCTTCCTCTTAAAGGGCCAGTGTCACCCTGTGACAAAGACATTAAAGTGTCATATCTCTCTCTCCATCTATACTACCGTATTTCCAGAGTGCTCATCGCCAGCAGCTAAATATAGCAATAACATAAAGCATCATTGCTCTCTGAAACCAGACCTTCTTCTGTCTGCCTTCTTTGATTAGGTCATATTCCTATCACTATTAACATTGTCCCCCTTCCTCTCTTTCCAAGTCACTGCTAGAGCTGTGCAAACATTGAACAACGAAAGCTGAAGCCATATGAAACTCAGCTAGTTTGGGGAGTTGGACATGGAAATCAAACCAACTGAGGAGTTTTTGTTTTGTTTTGTTTTTTGTTGGAGGACTTTGGCAAGGTGTTTGGAGGATCACCTTTCCTAATTCAGTCTCATTGGGGTATTTTGCTGTATTTGGCCCACACAAGCCTGTTACTTAAAGTGAAACCCAATGGATATAAAATTTGAAAAATAGCAAAAAGGCTTATGCAAACCCAGCAAGCTTCATGCTGATTTGATTGCTTTGGCTCCTTGGATATCATTCTAAAATCTCTTTCTGACCTTAGCTTCTGATTGGTTCTCTGCCTCTCTTTTTCTTATTTCCTCCATCTCCGCCTGAACTATTTTGTGATATTGAATATGAATGGTGCTATCAAATGATAAATTTTCCTGTATTGGTTCTTTATAGAGATGAAGATGAAGATCTAAGCTCTGATATATATGCAGCAAGGCAAATAAATGGGAAACAGCTCAGTAGCACTTGTGTATGTAGTCACCACGGCAGATTCCCCAGGGGGTGCAATAGGCATGTGAGGTCATAATCCAGGACTCAGACTACAGAGCACTGACTGTTCTGTTTTTCCCCTTCTCTTGAGGACAGCAGAATCCTGGCAGCAGCCCCCTGAATGTGAAACACCAGTTTTTGAAAGTGGTGCAGCGCATATTCCAGTACCGCGTGCTACTCACAGGTCAGCAATATTAAAGCACTTCTAAACTTGCTATAGCAGAGACACGTCTTTCCTATCCATATGTCGATGGCAGGCCAGGGTTGGGGAGGACAGAATGCGGTCAGAACAATGGGCTGGAATCTCCGGGGAGGAACAATGTGTTTAATATATAATAGAGAAATTACCATGTATTAATAGAGATAGGCCTGAGCTACAAATGTTTATCTAGGTCTGGAGAATGATTGAACTGCACACTGGACAGGCCACTGGGGGTTAATAGCAGCTATGGGCATTGTGAAGGGAGAAAGACCCCTATTTAGTGAGATCATGCTGAAGTGTAACTGTAGGATTGGAGTGTGCAAAGTCAGACTCTTGTAAGCCTCATTTTCCTGGATTTACCCATATTGGTATCCATGGATAGGGAAGGAAGCATGCCCAGACACTTATTGTCAGCACATATGTTTGATTTTACTTATGATGCCATTCATAGCTTAGCCCATACCTGGGTCACTTAAAGCTAGAGATGATCCCAAACCAAAATCCTGGAGCCAACACCTCTGAACTCTGGAAAAACTCCACTCTAAACTTTGCCACACCACAAAATCTCTCTTTATGCTCCCCCCTATCCCTGACATATGTCACACTCTGTAGAATGCTCTTTTTCTCCTCAAGAATGTCCCCTGAGGTTCTGGCTCCTTGTGGCTGCTCCTTCTCATCCTGCCCACTGCTAATCCACTCCAGCCAAAGCTGCAGTTTGTGGGAGGAGCAGCCTTTCATACAGGGATACGTCATGACCACTCAGTGCGCTGGATTAGGATATTGAGGCTTCCTATAAGGGAACAGCAGTGAATTAGTTGGGGAGGGAAGTGGTGAAATGTAACAGCACAGCAGAAGTGGTGGAAGGTCAGTGCATCAGATGGAATCACAGGAAACCAGAGATCATTAGATGTAAAGATAAAGAACCATATTGGGTGTATGTATGTGTCTGGGTGGGGAAAGATGGGAGATGACCTAAGTGTGGGACAGGGAGAAGGAAACAGTAAATCCATCCCATACTCAACAGCTGATAAAAGGAAGAGCATATTAGAGGGACTCCTATAAATGCACCAGAACAAAGGGATTGTCTGAAATTATATTCACAGCACAGATTAGCAGCAGTTTCATCTTGCTCCAAACACATTGATCAAAGATGCAACTCATTTTTCACAGCTGTTTCTGCTTTTTTAGTAACAGTGACTCACGTGAGCACTACATACCAGTAGGAGGATATTTTGGACTGACTTGCTTCCCTCTCTGGGTATATCTACACTAGGCAAGGGAGCCTTTCAAGAAACAGCAGTTGCGTGTGACATTTAGCTGTCTTGCTTTGTCCTTATAGAGGCTTAGTGCATCCATACAGCAACACTATTCTGATAGAATGGATTTAGTGTGTCCACACACACAGTGCCCCTTACCACCACAGTATATTCTGGGACTTCAGGTTCACTTAACCCTATGGGAGCCAGCACTATTGCTGAGAGTTTTAGGGCAGTTATCAAACACAAGGAACTGCATTGTCAGACAAAGTTAGAAGAAGCAGTGCAGCCGCAATGCTTGTGGCTTCCCGTTCACACTTGGGAGAAACTATTGTAGATAGTATTGTATATATCTACTGTAGATAGCACTGGTTCACGCAAACATGAGATAGTCTTTGTTCCGGGCATTGCAGCCAACTGGTATAACCAATGCTTGTAAATCACCGAGGATGGCTGTTGCATGCAGATACAAGGTATTGTATAGGCATTGCAAGACATTCTAAACACTGGAAAAAGGCTAATGTAGTGCCCATCTTTAAAAAAGGGAAGAAGGAGGATCCTGGGAACTACAGGCCAGTCAGCCTCACCTCAGTCCCTGGAAAAATCATGGAGCAGGTCCTCAAGGAATCAATTCTGAAGCACTTAGAGGAGAGGAAAGTGATCAGTAACAGTCAGCATGGATTCACCAAGGGCAATTCATGCCTCACTAATCTAATTGCTTTCTATGATGAGATAACTGGTTCTGTGGATGAAGGGAAAGCAGTGGACGTGTTGTTCCTTGACTTTGGCAAAGCTTTTGACACTGTCTCCCACAGTATTCTTGCCAGCAAGTTAAAGAAGTATGGGCTGGATGAATGGACTATAAGATGGATAGAAAGCTGGCTAGATTGTTGGGCTCAACGGGTAGTGATTAATGGCTCCATGTCTAGTTGGCAGCCGGTATCAAGTGGAGTGCCCCAAGGGTCGGTTGCAGTGGGGGAGATTTAGGTGGGATATTAGGAAAAACTTTTTCACTAGGAGGGTGGTGGAGCACTGGAATGTGTTACCTAGGGAGGTGGTGGAATCTCCTTCCTTAGAAGTTTTTAAGGTCAGGCTTGACAAAGCCCTGGCTGGGATGATTTAATTGGGGATCGGCCCTGCTTTGAGCAGGGGGTTGGACTCGATGACCTCCTGAGGTCCCTTCCAACCCTGATATTCTATGATTCTATGAATGGGTGGCTGCAACAGTTCATCTAGTTTAGAGAAGTCATGGATGCTAGCAGATGCCCTCGGATGATAGGACAGGCAGGGTTTGTTAAGGTACAGTCATTCAATTTCTCTGCACAGTGTGAAAAATAAAATACACCGGCTCTTACGTTCACAACTAGCTGTTTCTACCCAGATAAGGAAAGGTATTTAATCTCAACACTGGTTGCCAATTACTGTGCTACCGCCAAAAGGAGTTGCCCACATTAGTTAAATGTCTCTAGCCAAGTGCAGAGCATGCAGCTGGGAAAGGGAAACCTAAATACGGCATGCCAACACAGCACATTACCTCCCTGCCAGATTAGGCATTGAAAGGCACAATAGCAGACACCTCTTAACCTTCCAGAATCCCAATGAGAGACCAGTACAGTTAAGAGGTGTGGGAGGGTCTGGAAGAAGTTGAACTCACATGAGCGGGGGAGACTGAGGATGGGGGGGGAGACGAACGGGGGGATGTAGATCTGATTCTCAAATGTGAAATTTGGGGGCTTGCATGAATCAAAGAGCTAATTTAAAAGAGTAGATGTTTTCAGGATTGGGATTTTATAAATAAAAGCACCCAGATACTACAGTGATGAGGGTCACATAAGGAACTAGAGAGAGAGAGAGAGAGACAGAGAGAGAGAGAGAGAGAAATACCCTGACTCACACCAGTAGCCCTACCAAAGCCAATGGAACTACTTGAGTGAGTAAAGGTTTGCAAGATTGGCGTTTAAGTAAGATTTCTATTATATATAGTTTACAGAATCTATTTTCAAATTTTAATTTAGCTCCAGTGATCATTACTGAAATTCTCTATGTCCAGAACACTGGAACGTTGAGAAATATTGAATTGTACTACTATGTCCACATAGTCCATTTTCCTATGAATATAGGAAATCAGTAATTATATCTAGTACCATGCTTTCAAATGGGAAAATAGAAAACATTCATCAGAAGATCATTTGTTATCAAACTGTGTCACACTCAGCAGCTTCTCTTGGCTGAGAAACAGGGAAACATTTTTGTTAGTTCCAGTTATGAGGTTTTACACCTGCCATGTTTTGCTTTGAATCTCAGATTTGAATGAGTCCAAAAATATCAAAAACAAAACTTGGTAAAAAAAAAAAGCCAGGTTTAAATTTGTAAGGAAATTAAATCTGTCCAGACCTCCCTTTGTTTTCTATATAGGTGATTTCATAAAAGAGTAAAGGGTTATGGGATATTATGTTTGTGTGTTTCAGCTAGTCAAACCAAACTCTTTAATTATCTGGGAATTTACTGGGTGTTCTATATCTGATTGTTTCCTACAGATTACTTGAATAACCTTTGTCCTGACTCTGCAGAGTATGAAGACACACAAGGTAATTTCAAATGGCTAGAAGAGAAACTTTTATTTAGTATTATAAATAACTAGCAATGAGATCTGTCCCAGGAATATGTGAATGAAGCCCAGACTGCAATGGCATAGGTCTGATCTGAGGTCTCACTGCTAATTTAGGGGAGATTGCCTCTCCAGTATAAACTCTTTGAGCAGAGACCATACCTTTTTGTGTTTGTACAGGGCCATGTATATTAATTATTATTAATACAACAACTTATGGCATGACCGTCAACTCCCAATGGTATCAGAGCAGGCTGTGTCTGACCAGTCATACATTCAGAATGACCAAACTATATTATGAAAAAATCTGCTAAGAAAATCTGAAACTTCTGGATAAAAAATGAAGAGGTCTGATTTTTCTAATAGGAAAAAATATTGGCCAGAGTGATGCCGTGTTCATTCGTACAGTGTGATCTCACGTTGCATGGGCCTGACTGTTCTCTTACACAAGTGTAAATCAGGAGTAACTCCACTGGAGTGAATGGAGTTTATAGCAGTGTATAAATGGTGTAAGTAAGATCAGACTCAGGCACAATGAGTTTGAAAGGCACAATATAAAGCTGCATTCTGTCCTGTTTCCATATTTCATGTGGAATGGCCTGAGGCAGGGTCTTCTCACAGAAATGGAAATTCAAATTCCAATTCAGCGGCCGGTCCGGTCGTTTCTGGTCATTGTCAGAGGCCTATGGTCACATTAACAAGGAAAGTTGACCCACCTTCTAATACTGTGAGGAAGAAGGAGGAGGCAACCTTTCAAAGCAGGTTTGAGGTCATGTGCAGGGCAAGTGAGAGGGAGGTCAGATTGCTGTTGTCTGCCTCCTACCTTGCCTCCTCAGCTTGTGAATAAATAAAGGCAAGCATGAGCCACAGAACTGGGATCCAATCCCATATTTCAAAAACTCAAAGTTCTGAATTGTTTGGGCTCAGCACATTGGGCTAGCCAGAGAATTTTAATCCAGATCTGTATTTAGGGATTCTGGAAACCACCTCCACCTGCCCAAAATTCAAGGTTGATGAAGGATTGGTTCATATCCAGCTCTAGAACAGAAAGCAGAGCAAAGTCTCGACAGTCCCTTGCTACTTCACAAGCAGAAGCAGTAAGGATCTGGAGGTTAAGATTTGGGGCATTCCTATAGCTCCAGCATGCAGAGCCTACAGAAAGAGAACTGAGAGAACATAAGCATAGCTCAGACTTTTTGGTTCATTCCCAGAGCTCAGCCACCAGCTAAATCATAGTCCAGTCTTGGCATACCCATGCTGGGTATGATATTTCTGAAGCGAAGTGGGATGGCCTGATGTGTTTATTTGCATGCCATTACCCAGAATGAACTTGCAGCTCACCATTGTTTTGCACTGGTGCTGATGCTGCAGAGGTCTGGAATCAGCAAGAAGGCTTGGTCTATACTTGTTCCTTGAGCTCTGACCAGCACACGTACACTTGAGAGACAACGTATCAAAATCAGCTTGTTCAAAATAAAGAACAAATGAGGTGCTCAGCACCTATCAGGATATGGTCTTCTAGTTGCCTTGGAATAATCTTCATGGGCTACTCCCATTGAAGTCAATGGGAGTAGTATGAGGTCACAGGGGGATCAAGGCTAATGTTATATTAATCAAGCAAATACTGTTCTCGGCCCATCCAGTGTGAACCTGGAGTAACTAAATTGAAATGAATTGGGTTACTCCTGATTGACCTTATATATAACTGAGAGCAGAATTTGGCCCACCATTTAAAGCACTAGCCATAAGCTAAAGGTAAACTGTCATGCTTACAAAAAACTGCTACTGGAAGATATGTCACAAGATGATTTGGTGAAATTCAAAAGCACTTAAAGATGGTCCCATGAGCTTTCTTGTCTGGGGCAAGCTTGGCTCATGGTATTATAGCAAGAGGGAGACAAAGGGAAGGAAAGAGGGGACCCGATGTGGAAAGCAAGTAGGACTGTTTGGGATCCTAATTATTAAGGGCAGCTTGCCCCTGAAGGTGCCAATGCAGCTTAGCCAATGTATTTCTTTAAAAGATGTATTTATAACAAGGTGGGATATAGGTTGCTTTTTCTAACCTCTCATGTGCTTTGTGCCTTTCTGTGTTGCTTCACCCCTCAGCTGCCTTACTCATTGTCTCTGAAATTACGGACCGAGCCAACGACAGCATGCAGCAAGGGGTGAGTTGTGATTTGATGATTGGTACTGTCTTCTCTGTGAGTTTGCTGAGGAGTGAGTCACCCCACTGTACTATCCCAGAAAACCAGATCCTTTAGCCGAGGGTAAGTACTCCACGGTGTGCTCCAGATCTAGGCTCCATGGGTTAAATTCTGCTCTTGTTTATACTGGAGTAAATCCACTGACTTCAGTATATTTTGCAAGATGTAAGTCAGTGCACAATTCAGCCCAAAGTCTTTGTTTTCGCTTTGGCTGTGGGTGTGTTAATATTGCACACTGAGGAATGAGTGAGTGGGACACTGTAAATTTCATGGACTCTGCTTCCAATCTGGGATGTATACAGGTACGTAATCTTAGTTGAAGACATCATAGGTCCGATCTTGCTCCCACTGATGTTAACAACCCTGATTCTGAACTCACTAAGGGTATGTCTACACAGCAGAAGCTGTGCATGGGCTAACCTACCAGCGCTAGCTTGAACCAGGCAGCGTGGGTAACAACAGCCGTGACGATACCACAGTGTGGGCTTCAGTGCAGGTCGTAGAAGCCTGGCATGGACCCTGGGTATATATTCGGCTTGCTTGCCAGATCTGAAACCCATGTTATGCTGTCTTTACTGCTATTGTTGCTTGCGCTAGCTGGATTCATGCTAGTTTGAGCAGGCTACCCTGTGTACAGCTTTTACTGTGTAGACATACCCTTATGTGGGTTATAGGTTTTTACTAATGTATAATTCCATTGACTTCAGAGGAGTTACTCCTGATTTACTCTCATGTAGATCACAATCCAGTACAGTTGGAAAAAAATTTCAAATATAGGATCCTATTAGATTAGGTGTTTAAATACAGATTTAGATATCTTAAATAAATTATCTGATCTTCAAAAGTGCAGAGCACTCAGCAGCTCCCATTGAGGTCAGTGTGTGTTACTAGCACCCTGTGGCTGGAGATTAGAGCCCCATGATGTTAGCAAATATAGTCTGCAGATAACTGTTCTTCTAGCCATTTGCTCACAGAGAGCAAAATCCTGTTTCCATGTAAGTCAATAGGAGTTTTGCTATTTACATTAGTAAGAAGCAATATCAAGTTCAGAATACAGGAGGTACTGGGCTTGATCCTGATCTTACATATATTGGTTTTATATCAATGGAACAAGTTCCACTTGAGTTATTGGTAACTAGTACTTTCCCATTGGTTCCAGTGGGGTTCTTCCTCATTTACATTGGAGCGGCAACATGATCAGGGCCACTGTGGTTCTCTATACTGCATTATACCAGCCATTTTTATCTTATATAATTTGATCGGGGGCTCAATGCTGTCCTTGGATGCATGTTCTCAATTCCATTGACTTTAGCTAAAGCACAAGAGACAAAATTGAACCCAAAGAGACAATTAAGAGCACCACAGGTTTGTACAGTGCCTTGAAACACTGCCTTAGAAATACCTTCACAAACCAACATAAAATATTAATAATACTATTTGTGAAGCACATGCTCCTCCTCTTACCAAGGCACTCTGGCCTCTACACTAACCATTCAATTATTATTATTATTTTATTATAAATAATATGTAGATGTTAAGGTCAGTGACCTTCTGTATACCTTGTGGCTGAAATGAAGCATTTCTTTTAGGAGGCCTCTAAGCTGAATTTAAAGACTTCAAGGGACAGGGAATAGATCATATCTAGGGTCTTCCCAAATTCACGGCCATGAAAAACTCATCACAGACCGTGATATTTGGTCTCCTCCTGTGATATCTGGTCTTCTGTGTGCTTTTACCCTGTACTATACATATTTCACGGGGGAGACCAGCGTTTCTCAAATTGGGGGTCCTGACCCAAAAGGGAGTTACAGAGGGGTTGCGGCATTGCCACCCTTATTTCTGTGTTGCCTTCAGAGCTGGGCGGCCAGAGAGTGGCAGCTGTTGGCCAAGTGCCCAGTTCTGAAGGCAGCGCCCCGCCAGCAGCAGTACAGAAGTAAAGGTAGCAATACCAGACCATGCCACCCTTACTTCTGCGCTGCTGCCTTCAAAGCCGGGTGGCTGGAGAGCGGCAGCTGCTGACTGAGGGTCCAGCTCTGCAGGCAACAGCATAGAAGTAAGAGTGGCAATACCGTACCCTGCCCTCCTTACTTCTGTGCTGCTGCAGGCAGTGGCTCTGCCTTCAGAGCCGGGCTCCCGGCCAGCAGCCACCATCTCTAACTGCCCAGCTCTGAAGGCAGCGCCACCACCAGCAGCAGCTCAGAAGTAAAGGTAGCAGTACTGCAACCCCCCCTACAATAACCTTGTGACTCCCCCCATAACTCCTTTATGGGTCAGGATCCCTACAATTACAACACTGTGAAATTCCAGATTTCAATAGCTGAAATCATGAAATTTATGATTTTTAAAATTCTGTGGCCTTGAAATTCACCAAAATGGACCGTGAATTTGGTAGGGCCCTAATCATATCCCTGGGGAAGCTGTTCCAAAGCATATTTACCCTCCCTGTAAAAATTCACATTTTATGTCCCGTTTGAACTTCGCTGACTTTAAATTTCCAGCCTTGGGATCTTGTTATGCCTTTGTCTGCTAGACAAAGAACCCATTAGTACCAGACACCTTTTCCCTGTGTAGGTAATTATATACTGCCATCTAATCACCTCTTGCCCGTCTCTTCAGTAAGCTAAATAATAATAATTATGATGATGACAATCATTCATACTTCATAAAATGCACAATGCAAAAGATGAGCAAAATAGACAAACATCCTGGCATCAATATGGAAAGGAAGAGGAGAATGATGTGAATTAAAGTATCAAACAAGTGCTTTTGAGAAAGGTTTTATTTTCAGACATGATTTTAAAAGCCCGTGATTTTAAAGGTGACAAAATGGATGGATTTAGGCAGAAGCTATGGGGCACGAAATCTACCCCTTTGGGGCTGCCACAGCAACATACTTATCACCTGCTGTCCTAGGGATTCTCTAGGTGCCCTGCCAGCATGAGGAATGAGAGCCTTTGGTAAGAAGTGGAACCCCAAGTGTTCAGCATGTAAATCCACATTGTCTTTCATCTTTTAAAAATGAAACCTTCATGTTTTGTTCAGACGAAAAGTGCAAGCAGCTGTTTGCAGCAGATGAGTCCTTGGAGCCAAGAATGTCAACTTTTGCTCACATCTGGCAAGCTCTGATGCTCAGGTTTAAAAGTCATGTCTCTGATATGCGCGCCAAGGCCATAAACACGCCAGCATTTTCACGAGCTGTTTAACAGCGCAGATTTCAGTGACACTCTCCTCACGGATCGAGACCAATCCTCCGCCGCAACTTTTAATGTTTGTACAGCAGAGAGATAGGCAGCAGGTAAAACTGTTCCTATGTTTCTGAAGGGGAGAAAACTGCTTTAGCAGAACTACTGTGAGCAGTGCTAGGGGAAGAGACTGAAACTCTAATCCAGCTCCCCTTGAAGCCAATATTAAAACCTCCGTAGAGTTCCAGAGGATCAGGACTGATCCCAACATTTTTTGCCATATGACCTGAGCAGGTTTCTCTGTTCATGCAGAGATGGACTCCAGCCACGAGAATTGGATCGGTAGTTTTAGGACCTAGGGTTTTGGTTTGCCCTGATAACGTGCACCACAGATAGAGGCCATTTGCAAAATTCTGATCTCATTCTGAACATCCCAAAGTTCAGGGATGTTTGGATATGTGATTTTTGGTGTAAATCCATTTCCACTTCTTTGTTTTAAAGTTTATTCCTTTTTCTTTGCCATCTATCTGGGAACAAATCTCTGTTATCCCTTAGTACAACAGTGTCACACATCTGGCCCAATTAGTGTATGTATGTGACCTCCCATGACATATTCAAATTCTGCAGAAGCTAAACCTTCATCTTAAAAATAGCACCAGAAAGATGAACTCTTCCATACTTGGAAGCACAGATTCAGTTCCTATACAACTGGCTCCCTAATGCCTCCCCTCCCCCATTTCCTCCCCTGGAGGACACATCAGAGAATCTGGGCCATAGTTTGCACAGCATTTGGAGATTCTTTGGGCATTATAGAAGTGGTGGACTGTATAATTTTTGCTGATTAGGAGTTTATTTCAGAACCATTTCCTCTAAACTTCTATATTGACTTTTGCACTTTATTTTTATCATATTATTATCACAATAATAATATCATATTATTAAACCAGTGACATGGAAGAGATTAAACACAATTTCCTCCTTCCCCAACTTCTGTAAATGCACTTGGTTTTTTTGAGGGGCAAGTTTCTTGAGAGTCAAATTGTTGGTCTTGGAAGCTGTATTCCCGCTATCGTAACCCACTCATATACAAGCAAACACAAATCCGCAGCTCCTTCTTCTCTTATTCATAGATTATCAATGCAAAGCAATTAACAGCTGACTCTAACTACAGAACAGACTCAACAGAGTCATTCCGAATACAATATTAATAAAACTTGATGTGTACCTGGATGAATTCCTAGACTATAATTTAGACTTGGGATAGGAGGGAGAGTCCTGTTGGTACTAACACATTATACTACACTTCCAAATCTAACAGGACCATTGAATTACAGACAGTGTTTTCTATGGCACACCAAGCATTAATTTATTAGCTTTTTCTTTAATGGTAACAATACTCTAGCACCTTTTCCCCTAGCAACTTTTATCCCAGGAGTTCAAAACACTTTACAAATATTAATTAGCCCCACAGCACTCATGTGAGGTAGGAAAATATTTGCATTTTACACATGCACGAATAGAAGCTCAAAGTAGACCACTGTCACACAATATTAGAGGCACCTATTGTTCTAAGTAAGAGGCATTCAGGACTTTGAGCTAAGAAAGGGATGTATTACCCGTTAAACCTCTACAGTCTATTACAGGTCCTGAGGCACTAAGAGTTATACATCATAGTTGTTGTCAACTACTGGTAAATTCCTAAGGAAATTTGTCCACATAGACAAAATGATGATAACTTCATTGCCTTATGGAAGCTGTAGTTCATGGTTAAGCTAGCCAGATATGAATTTCCTACATCTGCAGTATTAATTGGGTGGTGCTGTTTTTTGACTCCTGGGTCCTAGCTTGTAAATGTGAATTGGAATAGGGAGAGTTATTAGCATTGTTTAATGTAGGTTGAATGGGATGGGTCAGAGTATTGGTAATAGACTATGAAGTCTTTCACTTCTGGGTCACTGGTTTGATTCTTGACAGAATAAGCACTAAAAGTAATTATCATTTATGGCTGTTTGGTTGAAATAAGATTTTGAATTTTAAAATATTAACAGCTTGATTTGTTTTGCTTGAAATTAGGAATGCTTGTTCATGAAAATAGAATGATATCCTGACACTTTGCAGGCTTGTGTGCAAATAAAATCCTTGGAATACTACTCACAGTCTTGAGTGTGTTGCTGATCTGGGCTGTTACACGGTCTTTTGGAAAAACAAAGCTTTTCAGTTTAGTTTTTAGTCTCAATTTAGGACTGTAACTTTTAACAGGAAGGTAAACCCATTGCATTGGGCAGGACAAAAACAAGCCATCGTGAGCTGCAGCACATCATGTCCTGTCTCAGCATTGAGACATGAAGACATCACACTGGCCTGAAATATTTTCAGGACACTCTGAAGGTCCTGAAAGACAAGACTGCAGGATGCATAATGAATAGTGCCTTCTGAATCTGTATCGACAAGATCATAGACATACCTACTTTACCCAACTCCTCTCTTTGTCAATGATCCTAAAAGAATATAAAATGCACTGGAATCATCACTAGGGGGACATATAAGAGATCTCAGTTATACCCATGCAATCTCATTGACTCTGATATTTAGGGAATATCCTGATGTAGATCAATGAAGGGTGGGGGGAGCAGCCCATTGTCTACCAGAGCAGAAAACTGCAGTCAAGACAGAAAAGCTGTTAGACAATGGAGCATTTTCTCGTCTTTGCAGTGACCTGCATCAGGATGGTCCCAAGGCGGATGCCGGACTCTCTGGCTTGCACAGATATATAGCTGAAAATTTAGCCCAAAAGCAGTTAGTTTGGGCAGCACAGTCCTAATTTTTAGCCCTGAATGTACCCCAGTGAGGTCCCATTGCTGTAGCTGGGCAGCTGCTTTTGGTCTCCTACTGCAATAGTGATCAGAAGAAATCCTAACTAAATCGTCTGAACTTGTCATCCAGATCCCTTGGTATCCAGGATTTCAACAGTACCATCTGCCAAGTAAAAAGGGGCTGGGGAGGGTGGAGTGTCACCCTTAACAGAGAGGAGACCTGAGATGCTGATAGAGACTCTTTACCAAAGTTTTCAAAGCATGACAATAATTAAACCCTCTTCCCTTCCCCCAGCACAAATAAGTGCCTTCTGATTGATACCATTCCTTTAATGGGAGCATCGGTTTGCTTAGATTCATTTTACATGCCGAGTGCTAAGTGGATACAACTTGCCCCCGCTCGTTTATTGTGCCTGCGCTGCTCAGGCCAGGTAAGCAGGGAACAGTATCAGACTTTGGTAATGAGCTCCCTGATCTTTGCAAGGCTTTTGAAAGGAAGGACTGTGCTCTCTAGTTAACCTTTCAGACCCCTGGTACAAATCTATTAATCCTGAATGCAAAAACCCCATATAATCCTAGCAATGGTTCTAAAGTATAAAGACGTGCTTTCAATTACCCTTGTCACCTCAGCAAGAGCAGCTATTTGGTAAAAGGAGACAGCAGTGAGTGGGCCCTTAGGGGGTGTATTTACGGGAGAGGGGAGCAGCATACTTTGCCTCCAGCTCCTGGCTTCCTCGGTTGTGGAGGAAGAATGTCACTACAGAGCATAATGTATCCATGTATTTATGGACTATAAGGTGGATAGAAAGCTGGCTGGATCGTCGGGCTCAGTGGGCGGTGATCAATGGCTTGATGTCTCGTCGACAGCTGGTATCAAGTGGAGTGCCCCAGGGGTCGATCCTGGGGACGGTTTTGTTCAACATCTTCAGTAATGATCTGGGTGATGGGATGGATTGCACCCTCAGCAAGTTCACGGCTGACACTAAGCTGTGGGGAGAGGTAGATATGCTGGAGGGTAGGGATAGGGTCCAGAGTGACCTAGACAAATTGGAGGATTGGGCCAAAAGAAATCGGATGAGGTTCAACAAGGACAAGTGCAGAGTCCTGCACTTAGGATGGAAGAATCCCATGCACCGCTGCAGGCTGGGGACTGACTGGCTAAGCGGCAGTTCTGCAGAAAAGGACCTGGGCATTACAGTGGACGAGAAGCTGGGTATGAGTCAGCAGTGTGCCCTTGCTGCCAAGAAGGCTAATGGCATTTTGGGCTCCATTAGTAGGAGCGTTGCCAGCAGATCAAGGGAAGTGATTATTCCCCTCTATTCTGCACTGGTGAGGCCACATCTGAAGTATTGCGTCCAATTTTGGGCCCCCCAGTACAGAAAGGAGGTGGACAAATTGGAGACAGTCCAGCGGAGGGCAACAAAAATTATTAGGGGGCTGGGGCACATGACTTATGAGTAGAGGCTGAGGGAACTGGCTTATTTTGTCTGCAGAAGAGTGAGAGGGGATTTGATAGCAGCCTTCAGCTACCTAAAGGGGGGGTCCAAAGAGGATGGAGCTAGGCCAGTGGAACGACTGAGCTAGGCTGTTCTCAGTGGTGGCAGATAACAGAACAAGAAGCAATGGTCTCAAGTTGCAGTGGGGGAGGTCTAGGTTGGATATTAGGAAAAACTATTTCACTAGGAGGGTGGTGAAGCACTGGAATGGGTTACCTAAGGAAGTGGTGGAATCTTCATCCTTAGAGGTTTTTAAGGCCTGGGTTCACAAAGCCCTGGCTGGGATGATTTAGTTGGTGTTGATCCTGCTTTGAGCAGGGAGTTGGACTAGATGACCTCCTGAGGTCTCTTCCAGCCCTAATCTTCTATGATTCTATGATCAGTAATGGGCACTGTGTTGGGACAGGAAGTGGCAAGTGGGAGTGTCATGGGCAGACAGATGTATGGTAACCCAACCACAGGTGGGGAAGCAGCTCAATAAAGCCCCACAAAACTGTTAGGCCCCAGTAGGTCAATCTGGTCCTAAAATCCCATTTGGCCCTACCCTGTCTGGGTGTCTCTGCTTTGACTCCAAACTGCTTAATGTCAATGTTATCTCTTGGTGGGGAGTGAAGGGAGGGTACGTCTGCTTATCTAAAGAACAATCACCATCCCACCTCCTAAACTCTCTTTTTCTCCCTCAGGAAAACTTGCAGAAGCTGGTACACATTGAGCACAGTGTCAGGGGGCAAAGCAACCTCCTCCAGCCAGGAAGGGTGAGTGCTGCAGTCAGACCTCCTGTGATAAGGACATTGTTTTCCACCAGCTTTATTTCTGTCTGTATGGATGGCAAGCTTTCAGACCTCATGTCTACAGGTGTTGTTTACTGGGCCGTTCCGATAAGAGTTGAAGCCCTGTTTTATGTAAAAGGCCTTCACTCTGCCAGCACTCAGACAGACATGCCAAGTGTCTCTTGTTAGGAGCGACAGGAGCAGCCCCTATTTTCTAAGCAAAGTAGCAATCAGTTTCCCAATGTAGCTGTCCCCAAAGCTCACCAATACAGTGTATTTTATTAGAGTCACTATCGTTTTCCCCATAATGTCCATGTTTAAAGTTCTCAAGTGCTGGCAAGTACAGACCGTTGGCCTCAGAGCTTTGCAGTTGTATTTGGCTGGGTGAAGAGCCTGGAGTGAGGGAAAATGGTGTGTTTTCATTATTGTTATTCTTCTAATTCCCCAGAGGTATTTTTCATGTAATATATAATTTATAAATGATACAGAAATAGAAGTATCACATACAGACACACACACACACACACACACACTGTACCTAAGTATCTCTTCACTAGCTTTGCCTTGTCTTCCACACTGGATTCAAGCTGCTTGTCCTCACTTTCAAGCCCTCACAGTTCAGCTCCCCTCCCCGCATCCCTCTGCTTAATCTTCCTTTCTTGAGCCCTACAAAACATGAAACTTCCCTTCAGTATAACAACATCTTAAAACAAAAACTTTAGGTAACTCTCAAAACGTGCATACCACTAATCTAAGGAACTGCAGAATCTCACCATTGCAGCCCTCATCTACCTTTTCCTCTACCACGCTAGGTAATGTTTTAACTTGGGGCCTGATTTTACCATCCCTAACTCATGAGAATTGCTAGATTGGGCCCTTCAATTGTAAACTATTCTGGAAGGGAACACTAGGTCAGATCCTGATCTCATTTACAGCAGTGTAAATCTATACTAATTCCATTTACTTCAACGGAGTGACTCTGGATCTACTCTCGGGTTACTGAGATCAGAATCTAGTCCATTGTCTTGGCTGGTGTGAAAAGGAGCCTATGTATCTGTGGTACTGTATAAATAATAATTATATGGGGAGAGAGATTGTTTTTTATACACACACACATATGTGCATATATGCTGTGATTCTAATACTCTTACAGCCCATGTTCAGCTGGTGTTTGTTGGTTCATTCTCATTGTAGGGAATATTTAAAAGATGAATGTCCTTTTCTCGGAGTCCGTTAAATGTTGGCTCCACTACCCTTGACAGAGTCTTTTCTGTATAAACACAGCTGATAGTGGGGAAGCGAAGTAAGCAAGAAACTGCCCTGTCCCTGACAAATGTATAGTATTGGTTTGAAAGTAAATGGTAAAAAGGAGCAACACTGACACTTGGCTGACCCAGGACAGATAGGACTGATCTGAATAATGAATAGACCTCATTGTCATGAGGAGGATCGGGCTAGCAGAGACAGGAGTGTTAGAATCTCCTCCCGTAAAGGCAAAAGCATTTAATGCCCTCCTTTCACTTTGAGGGGTGTTCGGTGTTCACAATAATGATACTGATAATGTTTCCTCCCTCAGGAGTTTCTGAAAGAGGGAACACTGATGAAAGTGTCCGGGAAAAACAGGCATCCCCGGCATTTGTTCTTGGTAAGGATATTTCATTGGTTTGTTGCCTTTCTCATATCGTATCATGGGTTTCCATGACTACTAAGGAGACTGGATATGACCCTGAACTACAGCTGAGCTTGTGCACATTGGGGCTGCCTGATAATTTAAATAGTACTGGTGATATAACGTATTGGCATGTGTGAATGAGTGAGAGATGTTGACTTCTAGGATGTAATTTTCAGAAGGGCTCAGCACCTACAACTGGCAACAGAATTTCAGAACAGCTCAGCACAATGGAAATGGCTGTGTTGCAGGGCAGCATTTCCTCTCTGACTTTGGACTAACAATTAACTCAGTTTCTCCTCAGCTTGAATATCCCAACCTTCCAGCCTAGTTTGGTTGCTCCAGTGACTTGGCCTTCCAGCTGTTTCATTAAAGAAAAAAATTCACCCCTTTCAGGGTATCCGAGTCGAAAACACACACACATGAGTCTTCCACCCCCAATCCCAAGCTGGGCACAGCCTTTCCTGCCTGAGGGTCCATCTGTCTTCGCTCTGGGGAACTTCAGACACTCTTCAACCTATGCTTTGGGCTTTGCTCTCACCCCTCAGGCCCTCCTGGGCTCCTCTGAGACTCTCCCTGCTCTCTACCAAGCAGTGACTCTCAGGCCTTCCTACTTAGAGTCTCCCTTCTCTCCACAAGTTTCTGTCTTATCTCCATACCAGAAGGCTGGACTTAGCAACATGATCTGTCTGCCCCATGACTGTTCATTTTCTCCACCGAGGAAGGTGAGCTAAGGGTGTCATAGATGGAGCTGGACCAGTCTCCCCTTAAAGGGCCAATCACCCTGTGACAGGCTGGGTGCTGAAAACCAGACTCTAATTGGGGGAACTGAGAACTTGAAAATCTGCCCCTGAGCTCTTCTGAAAATTTGGTCCCTAGTGTCTGACCAACAGAGAGGATAAGGAAGCCACTACTAGCAAGAGCTAAAAAAAATTATTTTGGCTCAAGCCGTAGTTTTCGGAGCTCAAGGATGTGAGTTCTAGTCCCAGTTCCCCATTTGTGCATGAGCATATGGTATCTAGTTATTATATCTGTTGTCTGTGGCGCATTCTTTCTTTCTGGAAACATAGCATCTCTTCACATTTGGCTCGAGGAACTGCTGCCCCAACATCTTTTCTAATGTGTTGTTTCTTCTTGTGTTTTTTTAACATTCATGATTTTCCTTTGTATTAGACAGTATTGGCTAATGGCTAGAGCAGAGATCTGGGGATCAAGACTTCTGGGTTCTATTCTCAGCTCTGCAGATATTTCACTCCATAACTATAGGCAAATAATTTTGCCTTTCTGCATCTGATTTCCCACCTCTATACCCTGGGGATAATGATACTTACTTGCTTTCTCAGGGCTTGTGATGCTTAATTTATTGATGACTGAAAAGTTCTTTGAGATCCTCAAAGGAAATGTGCCATGGAAATACTGAGTAGTGTTATTACAATACAGTGTTGCAAAATTTAATTTAAAGTCATAAGATAAATGCCTAGGATACTGTATTTTCTGCAGATTTTCTAAATATTGAACAGGGAAATTTAAACTGGGGCAAACATGAAAATGGGAGAATATTTATACCAAAGTCACATACTTTGCCATGGATTCTTCATATTTTCTTTTCAGATTATTATTTCATAGTTTTGTGAAAAAGCTTCCTTGCTTACTGCTCAGCTTCTCTGCTGGCTTCATCATGAGAGGCTTGATTGATTTTGTGTGGGACACTATGCTGCCCTTCTGCTTCTTAGACGGCCTCATTGATTTCTGCAAAACTCAAACTTTTATGTATTAGAAGTAATGGGTCTAGCCAAAATCTTCATGATGTGATATCACTGCGATGCTCTTTTGTTGAATCTGCCTGGACAACCTTAAACCATAGCACTACTGTGCAAACCATAACCAGTTTTAAGTCTGTGGCAAAATTGCCATTGATTTCAACTGGACCAAGATTTGACCTGAAGAGAGAGACCCATTCAGCTCTTTGGTAGTTAACTCTGAAACCTGCTGATGCCAGTGTGAATGTTGATATTGTTAACTGTTTTACTGCTGATTATTTTAGCAGAAATAACCAGCTGTTTTGGTCCTGTGGATGGATTTGGGAATTGTGGACAGAATTTGAGCAGAATGCCATGATGTTCATATGGTCATAATTTCACTATAGGGACATCATAATCTGTGGCCGTTACTATTACGGCAGAACCACAGGACCAAACAGGAGGAGCAGGAATCAGATAGAGAGAAAATCTAGTTTAAGTAATAAACAGGGATAGCAGAGTAATTTAAACTCGGGTGAAAGGTAAACTGAGCCAAGTTTCAAATAAGATATACTTGAAAGTTTATCCTCAGCTTGAAAGTCACAGAGGCAGAAAATACTACCAAAATGAACCAAGCACTGAAATAAGTGTAAAGTTGTTATTAGTGGGCTTTGAGGTGGCAACTTCCAGTTGAGGAACAATATCACGCTTCAGCTAAAGATTCTGCTGCTCGAAACTGGGTGTCAGCTACAGGGAGTGAAATAATCCCTTGGCAGATGGAGAGATTACATTAAGTGTAGCCCAGTGATTCTCAACCTGTGGCCCATGGGCCACTTGCAGCCCAATCAGCACATAGCTGAGGCTGACGTGACATCCTCAGGGCCATACAGGTAGTATATACACTGTGTGATTGCAGCCCATATAACACATAGAGAACTGCATATGCAGCCCACGATGATAAATAGGTTGAGAACCACTGCTGTAGCCCATGAAAAAGGGGGGAATGATTGCAAAATAAAATAACTCATGTTAAACTCTGAATGTGTTTTCATTATCTCCCTGTCCCCAGTAATACTGCAGAATCTGTCATGTTACAATCACTCAGTGGGTGTGTTTACTGGACTATTTGTCCTGTTAAACTATCAAGAAGACTGCTGCACAGCTCTGGTACTTATCTCATTCTTGATATATAGCACACCTCCTATATGAGCCCTGAACCTGTACTGTACATCTCTGCCAACGCAAGCAATCCTGGCCTGCAGCACCTCATTCAACCACCAGCGCGGGACATGTTACATAATGGGACATATTACATATCACAAATTACAGAGCCAACATAATCCATATTACATTTGGCTCTGCCAATGCACTTCATCCCCTGAGCTGCAGGGCCCTGCAATACCAGTCCTGAGGCCCTGGCTCAGGGGTCCATCTCAATTCTGACCTCCAGCAGCCCCTGCTATTCCAGCTTCGGAATCCTCTGGATTTGACTTCTAACGGTACTAGCAAAAATAACGTAATACTCTCCCAAAGGAGGGGAAAGCCTAGATTTTAAAATCATCATTCATTCAAAACCCTGAAAATTTTCTAAAGGCGATATCCTAATCCAATTGAAGTCACTGGCAAAACTCCAGGGGGACCAGGATTTGGCCTGACATGTTTTGTAAAATGTAATTTTCAGATCCTTTGTGGATTTTTTTATGGTCCCTAGTGTGTCAATTGCTATGCCAAAAAAGTGCATGAAAATGGGATACGTGTGATTGGGTTTTGCTTTGTTTTTGTTTGGATGAAATAAGTAAATATGCCTGAATAGACCTAAAAAAAAAAAAAAAAAAAGATTGGATTTCAGATGTCAATTCTGTTCCCATTGACATCAAGTTAGGCCAAATCTGAGTGCTTTGCAGAACCTCACCCAGAAAGCACATGCTAGAGCAAAAGCCTAAGATGGGATTTTATCCCCCAATTTACTGTAAGAATAAATCAAACTAAAGTTGTGGTTAGAACACGATGTTAAAATGGTGTGTGTATGTGTGCCATGCCTTATGTGTTTGCAACCACACTTTGTGCAAGTCTTTGTGTTGTGTGTATTTGTGTTCACATGTGGGGCATAGGTCTGTAATGTGCATTTTTGTGTGTGTGTATAAGCATGTGTGTGGCATGTACATGCATGTATTTTATGCAGGTATGTAAATGTGCATAAGTTGATGAATGTCTGTTGTGCGTATTGCAAGGGTACTGAAGCTGGCTGTCTTGTGTAGGCTGATGGTATTGTTGAATCTGGTGTTTCCTGGCAGGATGTTTGGTGTGTTTTGCTGTGCGCCTGTTTCCTGAGTCCAGTCTCTGTTTACACGGATGTTGGAGCCTCTTTGCAGAGAGCACAGAATGGGCCGCTGAAGCTGGCAGGCCTCCTAATCGCCCCCCGACTACGGGACTCTTCAACTCAGACACTATCTCTTATCTCACACTTCCAAGAATTTCTCTACAAAAGCTGCTTGTGTTGGACGTGAGGCGGGGGAAGCTGCCATTGACTGGGAGTTTTGTTCAACACTCCAGACAACCAGGCTGGAGTTTAGCAGAATTCTGAGAAGTGCAATGCCATCCCAACTTCAGGCTCAGTCTTGCACCCTTGAAGTTCATAGGAGTTTTATCATTGACTTAATTGGGAGCAGTATAGGGCTCTTAGAGAACAAACTTAAGGACAAGCAAATGTGTGGCAGAAGTTTCTGGAGAATCAATGCACTGGATGTAGTTAGTACTAGGGGTGTGTGAACTTGTTTGACCTAATTTTGAATCCACTTGAACATCATAGGTTTGGAAATTCAATGTGAACTCTAATGTTATTGGGTTCACATCACACTTAGAAGGGACTGTTATGAAAGGAACCGAGGGAGAAGAGTTAGAGCAGGGAATATGTTCGCAGACAGCAGCCAGGATTTTCCAAGGGATTGGGGCCGTTTGATCTCCTCTACCGCAAGACAGCCAGGGAAAGCAGCAGGCAGGGCAGCGCCTCTGTGCCCCTTTTACACGGCATCCCTCTCCTGGCAAACAATGAAATATTCGTCCTAATTTCATTGCAAGGAGTCATTGCTAGTGGGACCTTATGAGAGATTGGAGCCACATTTCTCCTCTGTATGCAGCGTGGCAAAACAAACTCCACCTCCAGTGGGCAATTACAAAACAAAGCCATCGTCAATTATTAATAAAATCTTGGGATACTAATCAGAGCTGCCATGGCAACAGTATGCACTTGGGTTTTTTAAAAATATTTTTTTATAAATAAAATAAACAGTTTGCTGCCAAAGAAGCACAGCAGTGCAGGCTACAAAGATCCTACGTTTTTTATGAGATTTTTGTGTTTGTGTGATTTAGTGCCCTTCATTCGCTGCCTTTTCTGTGGTTTGGAATGACCCCGAAGTATGTGGCACTGTTAACTGGCAAAGGAGAGGACTGCTTTCTTCTGTAATCCAGTAACCTTTGAAAATTCACGGGATGCTTTCACCCCCAACTCTCTGGCAGAATCTCCAGGTGGAGGTGAAAGTAAACAGAAGAGAATCAAGGTCATTTTCAGATGATAATAAAAAAAACAAATCTTTCTTTTTTTAGCAATTGCTGCCATCCCAGCTGATACTAACTTCCATGAAAAAGCTCATCCCTCCAGTGAGATCATGCAAACAATAGTTTATTCCAACTGCTTTTCAATGAACAGTTTATGATAGGCTTACCTCCCTTAACCTCTCTGACCCCCAGTTTCCAATAGGCTGTGATGAATTCCGTTCTGTCGCTAGCACAGCCCTGGTTAAACTGAGAATCATAATATGATCAGTACAGTGCAGGTGTCACTGCGCTGATTAGATTAATGTTAGCACAGATGGTAATTTATGAAGCAATAAGTAAATGGTATAAAAACTCCATGACAAGCCATTTGTCACCCAGCTCTATGGAAATTCTCTTGTTATGCCATTAGAGGAGTAAACATTTCACTTCAAAATAGAGAGACTACAGCTTGAGACTTTTCTTCCTCCTCAGAGTTATAGTTTCAATGTGATAATAATACTTTTCGTCTGAGGATCTCAAAGAGCTTTACAAATACTCATGAATTAAGCCTCATGACTGAGACGTAGGCACCCCCATTTTAAAGATGAGCAACTGAGGCACAGACTTGCCCAAAGTCAGACAGTGGCAGCGCCAAGAACAGAACCCACAGGTGAACTCCTAACCCTATTGAAGTCAATGGGCACTTTGCTATTGACTTCAGTGTGGCCAGGATTTCATCTATGAGTCCTAATTCCAAGTCTCCCTTCTCTAGCCACTAGAAACTGTTCCATCTCTGCAGGAAAGCTGAACCACGACCTTCTAAGAAAATATTTAGAGGGTCCCAAAGGTTCCATTTTTTCAGGCAAAGGCATTGGTGGGAGCAGAGGAGGACAGAAAAACATTTAGGGCCCAGCAAAGGAAATGACCAGGCAACAGCTCAACTTCTCGTGACGTTCAGTGCCGATGACATTCTCGTGATCGGGAAGGGGGTCAGCAGGGTTCAAATCTAGATCCATTGAGCCCAGCAGAGTTACACCAAGGATGAATTTGTCCCTTTGTGTGTGAAGCTATTTTATAAACAAACAAGTCCAGGCAGGAAGAAGGGACTTTAAGTAGCAGATGGATTTTTCTCATAAATGAAACAGAGCTCTCTCAGCTCTTTGGTGTCTATCAGATGAAGCACAAGCACTCAGTGATATGGTGGTCTGTTGAGGATAACCCAACAAGCATTAAGTCAGACCACACTAGGGCCTTGGAAAACATCACAAAAGGGCTCCTGGCACCTTCCCTGAGATCATTGCAACTTATACCCACATTTCACTCTGTTTTCACTGACGGTCCACAGCGAATGGAAGACCATCTGATTCTGTGGGGTCTGTATATGCCAAGGCCCAGCCCTAATCACATTTCATTGGCATTTTCATTGGGGAGATAATGCAAGGTAGTTCACGGCTCAGTGTGAAGGATAACATTTTCAATACTAGGGGATGGCATCTCCACTGCCTTTCCCGAGCCTCTTGCACCCAGTCTCTCAAGATTTCTCTGATGGTGGATGCCAGAGTTTCTCTAAGTTCTGAGTACTAATGTGTATGTGCAATGGAGCCGCAGGTTTGAAGGGGGTTAGCCGGGATGTGTACGTGCTGAGATGGTGCAATCAAATCATCTGTAGCCTTTCCCTTAACACAAATAGCCATTCCAAATGTGCCTGAACCAAAATCCAAACACTCTTGAGCTTTGAGAAGTTTGGATCTGGGTCTGAACTTTGTGGCTTTAGTAACAATTCATGCAATACGTTAAGTCACTGCTGGCTCTGGGCATCCCTCCCACCCAAGAATAATAGTTAGGCTTGCAAGACATATTGCAAATTATTGATTTTGCCTTTCTCTTCATATAGATGAATGATATTCTGCTGTACACGTATCCCCAGAAGGATGGCAAATACCGACTGAAGAACACCTTGGCTGTGTCCGGCATGAGGGTAATGCTTAGTTCAGACCACAGCCTGGCATTAAAGTTTATTTGGGGCTTATTGGCTGCCTTGTTAATGCTTTGCCAGTTTATGTCTCCTTTCCAGTTGACTGAAAGGAACAAGCGCATTTTATCTAACGAGTCCCTTGCCTGTTCCAGGAATTAAAGAGGAAAATATAAAGTACACAAATAAAAGAATATCTAAAAGGTTGCAGATTAGCATGACTGCCTCATTTGGGCTGGTGATGAATAAAGCAAACCAAACTCAGAGTTACTATCCAATCATAGTTACTATCCAATCATATCACAGAAGCTAAAGAGGGAAAAGACATCCCATCTAGTCCTTTCCCCTCTCCCTGTTCCCAACCAATGCATGATTGTTCCCTACAATATACTAACCAGGGTTATAGCACCTCCTAAAAATTCACACTCATGTCATTCCCTTCTCTGGGAGCTTTCATGTCCATCTCCTTCAGCCTAGGGGGCAGACCACCCTGTTACACCAAGGCTGAAATGATTAGTTGGAGATACCCTACGTTTTCTGGATTCCACCTGGCATGTTGAAGGCTGAGTTTGGAATCATGCTGGAGAGCTGGCGGTTGGTTTGGGTTCTGTATTTGAGATGGAATGAGATCAGGATGTTCATCTAGGGAAACAGTTGCGAGAAGGTGCCACAGCTGAGAGGAAAGAAGGCCCAGACTGGGGACCTGTCAGCGGTAACAGGGCATCAGACCTGAACACCCCTTAAGTTTGGATTGTTTTAAATCTAAATCCTAATACACATTTTGTCCCCTATCTTTATAATGGGCCAAACACAAACTCTGGCTATACCTGTCTCTATATCCAAGACATCACCATAGTATCTATATGTGGAACACCCCCCAAATTGGCAATAATATGGACCCACCTCAATCATCCCAACTGACCCTGCACCCCATTGTCACATTGTGCTGAGCTGCCCACTACCTTGTCCCCACTAGCCTCTTAGCAACTGAGAACACTGTGAGTACTAGACTTTGATGGTTAACACTCAAACTGTTGGAGCTTCACAGATCCCTGTGCATCAAGAGTTTTACCATGTGCTGACCATAGATGGTTTAAATCACTCGTCCTTCATTTACATGTCATTTGTTTCTAGGTCAACCGCCCAGTGACAGAAAAAGCCCAAAACATCCTGAAGATTGAATATGCTGAACACTGCCTGAACCTGTCAGCAAGGTATTGTCTCATACCAGCCATGGCAGAGGGTGTTTATTTTAGCTATATCTCTAGACCAATCCAACTACTGTCCAAGACTTAATTGGTGCCCCACTGTTTTTAAACTCCATTTCAGTCCATGCAATTGTGACAGATAATGGCCAAGTGCTTGATTATAAAGAGGGCATTCATTTCAATGTAAGACTCATAAGACACAACTAATTCAACACTTACAATGAGTAAAAAGCTGGGACTTAGCACTTGATAAGATTTGAGCAGAGTAGAAAATCCATTTCTAATCAGTCTGAGCCTTCTTCCTTGATCTTTTACAACTTTTTCCCTGTCACACTGAGAATCCAGTTTTGTCTACCTCCCCTTTATAATTTGACTTGTCAGCTCACATCACTGGGGTTACCCAAGGGCTAATGAAAAATAGTAATTAGCTAATTCCACGCCATAGATTTAAAGGCATTTAAAAGTACTTAAATGACAGTTAAAACAGAAATTAAACTTTACCGACGATGTAATGAGGTCTTTTTGTTAAAAGGAATTTTCCTAATGAGTTTGGACAAAGTTGGTACTGATCACAATCAGGGAGGGTGTTGTGTCTTGTGATCACATGCTGACAGCAGCAAGAATTTGTACATCAATTTCTGAGCTGGAGGATAGAGTATACCGTGTTCTTCTTGGTTTTAATTCCAAAGATGTCTTGCAAATTTGGTACAGAGGAACAACAACAAAAAAGGGGAAGTATATGATTTTCAGATACATTGTTTAAAATTAAAATAATTTAGTCTCAGTGACAGTTGATCATATTGATGCGGTTATCAACGTTTTAAGAACTGAAGTTCCCATCTCAAGTCTCCACCTACAGTATGGCTGGAAGCACAGCAGGCTTCCCCGAATGGCATGCAGACTGGAACCAACCTAATAGACTGGGAAGGTGTTTTCTTTTCAACACACTTTGAAATCTAAATCCTTCTCTTACAAGGAACATATGTCATCTGCGCCCACCGCTCAGAACCCTGCCAAAGCCCTTGAATTTGGTACCTTTTCACACTAAGTAATAACATTTTTGATACTTTTATTATCAGTATTGGATGCCCATCCAGTGCCCCAGAGGGTCCAAACTATGCATCTGCGCTACCCACTGTCAGTTAAAAAAATAGGTGGTATATGGATTTGTGTTGGCTGGGACAGTAAATAACTAGACACCAACCACCTTAGTGTAGAGAAGTTCCAGTGCAGATGAAGCCCACGTGTCAAGGCAGAGAGTTACTTTGCAGCATACTGGGAGCTGTGCCTGGAATTAACATCCAGTCAAACAGGACCCTGGTGGCTCTGGTCAGCAATGCTGATCAGGCCGTTAAAAGTCCAGTCGGTGGCACAGCAGGGCTAAGGCAGGCTCCCTGCCTGCTGTGGCTCTGCGCCGTTCTCAGAAGCAGCAGCATGTCTCCCCTCCAGCTGCCTGGCCGTGCCTCCACATGCCACTGCTTCCGGGAGCTGCCTCAAATAAGCGCTGCCCGGAGCCTGCAGTCCTGACCCCCTCCCACACGCAACCCCCTGCCCCAGCCCTGATTCCCTCCCATCCTCTAAACCTCTCAGTCCCAGCCAAGAGCACCCTCCTACACCCCAACCCCTCATCCCCAGCCCCACCCCAGAGCCAGCACCCCCAGATGGAGCCCTCACACACCCCTGCATCCCAACCCACTGCCTGAGCCCGGAGCCCCCTCCCACCCTCTGAACCCCTCAGCCCCAGCCCGGAGCCCCCTCCTGCACCCCAAACCCCTTATCCCTGGCCCCACCCCAGAGCCTGCACCCCCAGCCGGAGCCCTCACCCCTTCCCACATCCCAACCCCCTGAGCCAGCCCGGTGAAAATGAGTGAGTGAGTGAGGGTGGGGAGAGAGAGCGACAGAGGGAGGGGGGATGGAGTGAGTGCGGGCGGGGCCTCGGAGAATGGGTGGGCCTCAGAGAATGGATGGGGCAAGGGTGTTCAGTTTTGTGCAAATAGAAATTTGGAAACCCTAGCCTGGATTCTCCATTGGTCTTTTTGTGCTGACATGCAGCTGATGCTCTGTTAAAGGCTGAGCCAGTGACTCCTGTGGGAGTCATTGTGAAATTAGGGCTTGAAGCAGAGAGGTTGCCCTTTGGGTACTAGAGGTAGATAGTGCTCTTTCACAGGGGCCAGCCACAAGTACAAGGAGCCTCCCGCTCCTTGTGCTGTTCATTCAAGGGCCAACCATAAGTGAAGTCCCTGATAACACACCCTAGGGCACAAGTCACCTCTAGGGGCCAGAGAGGAGGCCTGGCTATTGCTCCACTTCCTCTCTGCTCTGGCTGGCAGAACTGACCAGTCACAGATGGGAGAACATGCTACACTCTCCTAAAAGATGGCACCATGGATGCACTCCACGGGGCACTAGGGAATGCCAGGAGGCTTTGGTCCTCACTGAGGTATCATGTCTTCCATTGCTTCTGGGTTGATACAAGCCCCCAACAAGGTCCAGTTACCAGCTGCCAGCCCTTAAGGCCTTTGCACTTGGATGAGGCAAGAAATACACATAGAGGAGCAGAGGACATGGCATAAGCAGCAAAGACCAAGACCACAGAAAAGGCACTAAAATGATAATAAGCAGAACCTGTGGTTCTGGTTCATACAGCAATGCTGTATGAAAATATGGCAGTGTCAAGCACTTGCATCTACCACTGAAAATGTCCCACCCAGAGAGCATAATTCTTTGGCTTGCAGGGAGCAGGTGATGGTACTGAGCACGCAGCCCTTACAAAGAAGAGTTGGATGCTGCTATACCTTTACACACATTTCAGAATTCTCTTCTTCAGAGACAATCGTAAGCAGATGGTACCCATATGAAACCTAATTAAGGTTAAAAGAAAAGGAGTACTTGTGGCACCTTAGAGACTAAGGTGCCACAAGTACTCCTTTTCTTTTTGCGGATACAGACTAACACGGCTGCTACTCTGAAAACTAATTAAGGTTATGTCTACACTGCCATTGAGGGGAAGGAATTGCAGCACATGTAGACATATCCATGCTAGTTTTAATCTAGCTAGCTCACGTTCTGATAGCAATGAAGCAGCTGTACAAGCCCACCCAGGACCTTGGGTACTCATTCATGCAGCTAGCCTGTGTGGCCACGGCTTCCTGGATATTGGTACTCATGCATGTTGCAATCACACTTCAATTGCAGTGTTGACATACCCTCAGAAAGCCAAGTGAGAATGCAGTCAATCAGTACGACGATACAGAAAGGCTGCAGTGGCATTATGATCAGTAACAGAATCCTATTCCAGACCAAGTCAAGTTTTTATTAATAGTGACTTAGCCATAAGCCAATCTAGAGAAAACAAAAGTATATTACAATAAAACTGAAAATTAAATCCATAATTATAAAATACAAAAATACATGTAAATAAAGATTTAAAAATACATAAACCATATATAATCACTGTGCCATTTTCCTTATTTTAGCGGCTGACTATGCAAATAGGGCAACCTCTTGGATCACAGGTACTATGTCTGTTCCTAATAATACTCTATTTTCTGAGACATCATAGAAAAAGGCATCTGGGATAAAAACACAGAAAGTCCTTTTGACCTCAAGTGGCAACACAAATTACAGTGTAATAAATCCTGGGGTAGGTCATCCACCTGCCCTGAGCCACATGGACAAAGGCAGTGGCTTTCTCGATGCCAGCATATCAACCTTCTAGGAAAACTGTCTGCATGGATTGAAAATGGAGAGCTACAAAGGCCCTCCTTAACATGTTATTACAACAAACTATCTAAATATCTGGCCTTTTTAACAAGGGGAATGAAGGTGATGTGTTTAACATAGAAACAACTGTCATATCCATTTGCTTGCTAATATCCTCTATTCTTGATTTAATTACACATTAATTTCACATTTTTAAATTTATATCAAATCATTTCCAAATCTGAGAAACTTAACAAATGCAAACAATATTGAATAGACTCTAACCAAGGAAATTACATGAGAAAGCCCTACTGAGCTGTTTCTCTAAGCATAACCTTGACAAACACTGTGGATGCATGCTGAATGCAAAGCCAAAAGTTAATATTACTGTACTGCACTTTGGACAGACTAGAATTCATGCCTGTCCTGCTCTAAGAAGAGCAACTGGAGTATTATTTGAAAGACCAAGAATCTTTATGAAAAATTAGTTTTGAATCACTTCCAATCCTATGGGATCATTCCATCCCCATATTTTCATACCAAACAAATTTGAATGCATACCTTGTCCATTCCAGGCCAGTTTCTGTGGTGCACAGATATCCCCTGCAGTCAGTGACAGTGTAGTGACATTTGACCTTCTGTTTTCTGTTAGACTAAGCTTACTGTAAAAGTAAATGATGTGTCACCTTGGCTAGACCCCAAAAATCTTTTCCGATGCCTAGTGTGGCAATACAGAAGTTTGTGGGTTGTGCACTCTGAGCTGTTCACAGCCTCCAAAACTTCAGCAAAAATCCCTTTGATCCTTCATACAACCTTCATACAACCAGTGAGCTAGTTAACTGGGATCAGGTCAGTGCCAATTGACATAATTCATTTTACAAGCCAGCAGCTATGTGTTATCCTCACACTTAGACACTATAACAGTCTGTGATTATTGCCTAGAGATGTTTAATGGAGTGAAGAGTAGGTGAAAAGGGCCTGTTGGAGATTAGGCTTTTATTGATAGATCATCCCTGATCAGCTGTCCTTGCCAAAATGACTTTAATTCACACCATGCTTTTATTTTATTTTTTTCAAAGCCAGGTCTTGAACCTCAAGTGGTTAGAATTTTGTGTCAAATGAGAGGTTGATAGAGCTGGGGGGAAATTTTCATCCACAACAATTTTTGATGAAAAATGCAGATTAAGCAACATCCAAACATTTTTCAATTTTGTGTCAGTTTCACCAAATTGTTTGTTTAAAAAAATTGAAATATTTTGTGCAAATCCTTTAATTTTATTTTTTAAATGCAAACACTTAACAAATTGGTCAAATTGAAACAAAATGTTTTAATGTTGAAATAAAGCATTTTGTTTGACCCAACACAAATGTTTTAGGGACTTTTCAAAATTGCCAAGGAACTGACAAATCCATTATTTACCCAGCTCAAGAGGTTTACCTATGTTGGTGCCACTTCCACTAACCCTTTGGAGACTGGGGACATAACTACAGACCTGTGAGTCTTCATGTGGCTCGTACAAACACTTAACAAATTGGTCAAATTGAAACAAAATGTTTTAATGTTGAAATAAAGCATTTTGTTTGACCCAACACAAATGTTTTAGGGACTTTTCAAAATTGCCAAGGAACTGACAAATCCATTATTTACCCAGCTCAAGAGGTTAACCTATGTTGGTGGCACTTCCACTAACCCTTTGGAGACATAACTACAGACCTGTGAGTCTTCATGTGGCTCATACAGTCATTTCAAATGTGTTTGATTATGTCCCCCTTCTTTGTGCCTGTAGTCTTTTAGCGCCCCCCACCCCACCCCCCGGCCACACAAGTACATATAGCATTGTCCAGCTCTGAAGGCGGAGCGGAGAGCAACAGCTGCTGGCCGGGTGCAGAAGCAAGGGTGGCAATGTGAAAAGTGGTCTGTGTCAATATCACTTTTCACAGCAGACTCAACGCCCCATTGCCACCTTTACTTCTGTGCTGCTGCTGCCACCCCGGGCTGACAGCTGAAACCCTGCCACTTCCAGGTGAGAGCCTGGGAGAGAGGGGAGGAAGGAGGGCCTGAGCCCAGGCTGCCTCCTGGTGGAGGATTGGGAGGGTGGAAGACAGCCCAAACTCAGGTGGCAGGGCTCCAGCTATCCCCTTTATCCTCTCCCCCCACCTCCTGGGTGTGCATGGCCTTTCTCCCCAAGCCCCAGCCACTGGGCGCGGACACTCAGAGCTCTTTTAAAAAAAAGCACACAGCTCACGCCTCCCTTGACACATTCCCGTGCCTCCATAGTTTGAGAACTGCTGGGCTAGTAGGTTGGGAATTATAGGCATCTTAGGCTTAATATGCTTTCCATTCAAACCAGTCATATTTCCCATAAAATCTGTACTGGAGGTGGAATTTGGGGGGGGGAAAGGAGCAGAGTTGGCTTTGACTAGTGGAAGGGATTGAATAGTCCTGTAAATCTTGGCAATGAGGTGATGTACAGTATTGCAATTCTTTGTCATGCAGCAACTAATACAAAACCAGTGTGTATTATACACCTGTCCTGGACCCTCTTTGTTCCAATAGGGTCATTAAGTTTTACAGAGGCTGGTGTTTTTCACAGATGAGTGCTTGCTCACAGGGTGCAGGGATTCTAAGCCAGGGGTCATTGACCAAGTCATGTACTTCCCTGTTTGTTTGGTTTTTTAAGATTATAAAAGACAAATTGTTCTCATATGTCTTGTTTGTTGGCCTTCTTGTGCAATCAGAGGAAAACACAGCTCAGCAGCAGCTGGCATTGATGCCACTACTAATTTTACAGGGAGCCCTAGTGGGAAGAGTGCTTAGCTTTAATGTGAATGCCTGGTACACCTTGTGGAGGACAGAACGCTCTGATCCATGTTCACACTTGGAATTTACATCTGATGTAACTGGAACGTGGCACCATTTACAATGGAGAATGAAATACAGCATTCCTTTGCCTGACCCTGAACCTGCATGGAACTGTTGGCCTCCCTGTTGGCTTTGGAAATTAATTAGATGTTTATAGAATTTAGAAAGAGTGGTCCAAACTGGGAAGCCATAGTACAGACAGGATTCAGGGAGAGGTTCACACACAAAGCTGCCACGTAGCCTGGCACAGTGTTATTCTTCCCTGCACACACTGGTGTATACCAGTGCACCCCAGTCAAGCAGCTACTCCTATCTCAGCCTGAGATGGTGAGTAATTTTGATCCCTGCAGAAAAACTAACTGACAGAGGGAAGGTGGCTAAATGGGGATTTTATGTATGCAAGACAACACACATTACGCACGAAGTTTCATTTCTGGAATCAGCAGAATCTCAGTCCAGGACCTGGGAGATTGGCAGGAGAGCTGGAGTGGCGGATAAATGCACTACTAGCTAGTTTTGATGGTGAAAGGGTGACATCTAGTGGCCACTTTAAAGAATCACAGGATTGTATTTTCTGTAGTTTCTCCAATCCTATTGGGATCCGGGAAGTGGGCGGGCAAAGCCCATCCACTGCTAAAGGATATTCCCCCTCTCCCCCCCCCCAGCCTAAGAGGGGTCCACAGGACCTGGACACCAAATAAATACGGGGGACAATTAATGAAATAACAGGGACAGGAGTGTGGTCAAAGGGTCAAACAAAGGGAACTGGACAGGGACACCAAGCAGAGAACCCCGGACAGCGCCCACTGCTCCTCAAAGGCGTCAAGGGAGTCAGTGGACGTCGCCCAGAGGAACTCTGCTCGGATACGTGAACAGACCGAGGATCGGAAATATGCCCCACAGTCACAGGAGACTCCATCGGCCAACTTCCTCACGCTGTTTTTATAGATGGCCATTTTAGCTAGAGCCAGGAGGAGGTTGACCAGGAGATCCCGGTGGGGCTGCAGATAGGGAATGCATAAATAAGAAGGTGAGGGGAAAAGTGCAACCAAAAACGTAACAAAATATTGGTGAGGAGCCGGAATAGGGACTGCAGCCTGGTACACTCCAGATATATGTATGCCAGGGTTTCACTCACACCGCAAAAGGGGCAGGTGTCTGGGATAGAGGTGAACCGTGCCAAGAACACACCCGTGCTCACGGCTCCGTGAAGGAGCCGCCAACTGATATCCCCGGTGGGCCTCGGGACCAAGGTGGAATATAGGCTGGCCCACCATAGCTTCTCCAATCCAGGGGAATGCAAAATTTCCCTAACAAAATGTCACATCGGCATCTTGCCAGTATGTTGAGGGCAGTATCTAATTTGCCTGAAATGGAATAAACTGAAACCAGTCGTGCGTGCATGTGTGTGTCTGTCCGTCCCAGCATGCAATTCTCCCTCTTTACCTAAGCAGCTAACACAGAGGTGACAAGTATCAACATGCAATACTTTACCATGATCTGAGCAACCCAGGCAGAGGCTACATGCCCTGGAATGCAGTTCTCTTGCTTTCTGAGTGGCAAGCACAGAGATGAAAGAAGCAGCATTGCATGCTGCCACATGTGGTTTACGTTGGAATCTCCACATTACAGTAAGAGTGGCCTTGAGCCACATTGGAAAATCCGTGGGCCAGAAATGGCCAGACTGCATTTTGGCCGTCCCAGTCATGTTCATAATGTCTCAAGCATCCTAGGTATCAATCCAATCAGAAATATCAGAAGTCCAACATTTAATTTTGTTTTTGGCCAAAGAATTAATGTGGGGGAGAGGGAGAGATAACTCAGTGGTTTGAGCATTGGCCTGCTAAACCCAGGGTTGTGAGTTCAGTCCTTGAGGGGGCCATTTAGGGATCTGGGGCAAAAATTGGGGATTGGTCCTGCTTTGAGCAGGGGGTTGAACTAGATAACCCCCTGAGGTCCCTGCCAACCCTGTGATTCTATGATTAATAATTCAACATGCTGATGAGAGAAGCAAAATGTCAGTAGATTGGAGCCTTCTCCCTTGATCCAGAAGCTTCTTGATTCAGTCACTGCAGGTCATGGCATTGATTGTGTTGCTGTATTTCATTCCACAGTTCATGCTCTGAAAGGGACGAGTGGTATAGCTGCATCAGCAGAACCATTCCAGATGACTACAAAGCTCACAATGCATCTACCTTTCACAACAGTATTGAGGTAAGAATGAGTCCTGGCATTGCCTAAGAGGATGCAAAGCCATCTGAATAGTTAAAAAAAGGAAAAGGAAAAAGTCCCTAACGGCAGAGTATTCTAATTATTTTTATATAAATCACCATGCTAGGGCTAAATGACAAAGGTCATCACAGCACTTGTGTTTAATATTCAGCCTGCTGTGGCCGCTACTGGAATTTTAAACGTTGCAATTCCACTTCATACTGTGGGTTTCATTTAAGTCAATGGGAGTTTTGACGTAGTAACACTAATCAGATTTAGCCCTGTATGGCTACCATCCTAGATGCTATCAAAAATAAGTATATTCCTTGCAGATGACTGTAAAAAAGCAAAACTAGCCATCAGTAATCCTTTTGTCACAATTTTATCACAAAGGATCATTAACTCACGACCACTAAAGCCCTCAGCAAAAGGGCCTGATTGAAACCTAACAGTCAGTTTATACTGGTGCAACTCCATTGACTTCAATAGTTATTCCTGTCTACACCAGCATGAGAGGAGAATCAGATCCAAAAGAGTTTTGCTAAGGCTGAATTCTCTTTTCCTTCTTCCTGCATGAGTCTAATTCTCTCCATAGCAAACCTACCTGGATGGGGTAACAGACGTGTGCAAATATGGGTAAACAGCAAAGGAGTTTATGAGTGCCGAACAGTGATAGAAAATGTGGGCCAGATTTGGATCCCATTCATTCAGAGTAACTCCACTGTCTTCCGTGGAGATCTGGGTCCAAATCATGGTCTGAGTTACAAGTGAAAGGAGTTTGGTGACTTCTAAACAGCCCCTTCCACTGGTCATAAAACCATCCCAAAAGATAGTGGCCTGCACAATAGTCAACGTAGCCTTCTTCATTCTGAGGTTGATACATTGAGTGCCAGGCAGCTTATGGAGGGGATGCGGGATTTTTTGCTTGAGACCTAAAAACCATCTTCTCTTTCTGGATATTAAAGTGTTCATGAATACCGTAATAAGAATATGAATATGCCCAGGTGGTCTCAGCCAAAATTGCACATAGATGCTATATTCTCACCTAGTGTAAACCAGTACAGCTCCATTGACTTCAGTGGATCTGAACCAATTTACACCAGCTGCAGATGGGGGCTCTGCTATTATATCACATGCGGTGTACTAGTTGGTATCACCTTCCACCCCAGAATTGACTGCATCTCAGTGCTGCTATGTGTAAAGTGTTTGTGGAACACTTTGGGATCCTTCAGAATAAAAGAGGGGCCCAGAACTTGAAGAACAGGGATTGTGTGCCAAGAATGAGGTGGACTGGCAGAAATGGGGGCGGGGAAAGGCGAGCGCAGTTCAGCAGATGTTGCTGCAGGTAAGGTGGGAGTTGCATTAGCAGAACTGGGTATGCTTTGGAAGTCTGGGTATTTCTTCGCTTTCTGTTTTAAGCTAAGGGAAAGGCTGGGAATATCCTTGGGTGAGAGGCCTCCAACTTTGGTACCTGTGTCCCACGTCATGATGTGCATGAACTGCGGCTGTGATTTTACCCTCACTCTGAGACGCCATCATTGCCATGCATGTGGGAAGGTAAGTGTCACGTAAATTCAGCTTCATTCAGACTCATCAACAGTAGGGAAAGCCTCTGAGACAAGTTCTCCTCTTCATTACACTAGCTGCAACTGCACTGACTTCAGCACAATTGCACCTGCGTACAGAGAGGAGAATCTGACTCCTCAGAAAGACTGCCAGTAGAGCTTTGCAAATGAGAATTAAGCATTCAGTGGTTAGTGACTTTGGTTGGAACAATATTAAGATTCTGCTGAGTGGCAAACTAATTCCTAAAGACTGGGTACTCAACCTAATGAAAGGGTCATGAGACATACATTGCCGAGCAGAGCTTTCAAATGGGACATGCCAGTAGCACTGGGGCAATGCAGCAATCAGACTACCAGTTTTCCAGTTGCTGGTTTACATTTTAGATATGGAAAGCTGCAAAGCTTTTGGGAATGTAGATGCACAAAGCTCCTATTCTCTATGGCCATTGTTCTTAAATCACTTCACAAGCGAGTGATGCATAGGAACTGCCAGACTGGATCAGACCAGTGGTCCATCTAATCCAGTATCCTGTCTCTGACAGTGGCCAGCACCAGCTACTTCAGAGGAAAGTACAAGAAACTCTGCAGTGGCTCTTATTTGATAATCTGCCCCCAGAGATCATTTCCTCCTAAGCCCAATTAGTTAATGGTTGGTTGATGCCCTGAAACATGCAGGTTTATATCCCTTTCAGTGTTCTTGGTTCTTGTGTTAATTCTTTCTATTATAAATCTGGATAGCCACATAAAGCCTCCAATCCTATTCTGAATCCAGTTTAGCTCTTAGCCTCAGTGATGGTTTCTGGCATTGAGCTTCACAGGCTACTTATACCTTGTGTGAAAAAACATTTCTTTTTATCAGTTTTAAATTTGCCACCTTTCAATTTCAGTTAATGTTCCACTATGTCAGTTTTAATCTGGATTTTAATTTTAAAATCCTGCCCCACTAAAAGTCTAATCCTAGTTCAATGATTCTTCAATTTCACAAACAAAATACTTCTCTGCCTCTGCCAGCAGAGTGGTAGTATGACATGTCAATCCACTTCTGAAAATGATACTATTAACAGCATGATCAATTCCAGTTTAGTGGTACCATTGCCAGCATGAATTTTTATATCAGGGAATGTATAATCCCCATGGAGATGACCATAAAACTATTGTACAATTATGCTTACTAATTTTTATATTATTGTAGCAGCTAGGACACCCAGTCATGGACTAGGCCCTCATTGTGCTAAGCGCCATGTAAACGTAGAACAAAAAGACAGGTTTCAGAGTAGCAGCCGTGTTAGTCTGTATCCGTAAAAAGAAAAAGAGGACTTGTGGCACCTTAGAGACTAACAAATTTATTAGAGCATAAGCTTTCATGAGCTACAGCTCACTTCATCGGATGCATGAAATGGATGTAGCTCACGATAGCTTATGCTCTAATAAAGTTATTAATCTCTAAGGTGCCACAAGTACTCCTTTTCTTAGAACAAAAAGACAGTCTCTGTGCCAAAGAACTTACACTCTAAGTATAAGACAAGACACAACAGATGAATACTGACAAACCGGCAGGGGATTATATATTGGTCAGCATGACAGACAGTGGTCTTGCCACATCAGCAGCCTAACCGTTGTCAAGATTTTTGTAGACATCATGCTAAAGAAGAATTTTAAAGGTGAGAACTGAAGAACAATGAAGTGGCAATTAAATGTACCGGGCTAAATTTTGCTCTGAGTTTACAATGATGGAAATCTAGAGTAATTACAATTAAGTTAAGGGAGTAATCCTTATTTATACTGGTCTAGTCAAGAGCCAAATTTAGCCCATTCTGCCTCTACCCTGCCAACCAGCCCAGAGGATCTGTTTGGTAATGTACACTGGTATGGAGAAATGTACATAGATACATATCTATTTTTTCTGTGGCAGATCATATGTCGAAATTGTTCAAGAAATAAGCATCCCCTGACGTACCTCAAAGACCGACTAGCAAAAGTCTGTGATGGCTGCTACTCAGAACTGAGAAAGAGAGGTGAGTCCTCTTCATTCCTTGAGGAGTGGAATAAAAATGCTACCTGCACATGAAGAGAGAAGGTTCTGCTTCATTAGAAGGAATTTCTCCTTCAGATATAGGTATGAGCTATATTAAGAGTGATACAAATGCAAGGTCTGGGGAAATAGCAGACTGCATGGTGGGTGAGAAGCTTTTAGCGAGCTGGAACCTCAAATTCTTCCTGTGACTTCTTGATGAACTAGAATAATAAGCAATAATACGTGGTACTATCTTCCTGTTTACAACTAACAGCGCTTCCCTGTAATTTCCAATGAAGTGCTAATGAAAGCAAAGCACTTACTTAAAATTAAAGAAGCTATTGACACCTATCTGCCTCAGTGCAAGGAGTTAGCATTTCCCATGGTGAGTGGCTAAGGTCAAATGTATGGACAACTTATAGGCAAGAGCTTTTTCGTTAAGGGCTTAGGCTTAGGGCACTAGGGACAGGTGCAATTTAGTATTTTCTGCTTGGTTAAAGAGATCCACACATCAGCTTTAACAGCACAGCGGACATGCACTGTTATTGCTTAGTGAAGGAAGACATGCACTGACCCTGTCATAGTGGTCTGAGCCAAGGGACAACTCAAGGCTGTACTGACCCAGGGCTGTGCTCCATTCAGGTTTTCCAGGTGACATGTATTGACACAGGTGAGACTCAGAAGAACTGTAACTCAGGTGATGGTACTGACTGGTACAATAGTGTCTTTGTTGATAGGGTATGTCCTGGAGGTGGAATAAATTGTCTCCTGTGCTCAAAACACAGTGGAGAGAAGTTCAGGCTTGAAAGAACATCGCCAAAATGAAGCTATTTATTTGCCATGGAGGTGCCCCAGGAAGCAATCAGAATAAGTAGAGTGAGCAGATGGCAGAGACACATAGTCAATGCTCTTGAACAGTCATTAAGTATGAGAACACAACATAACAATTATTTTCCTTGTCATCTTCCATACAAGCCGTGTGTGTTTGTAGGGGATGCGTCCACCATGGCATGCCATAAAGTTCATTGAACAGTAATTCTGCTAACCAGCCTTACAAGGGGAGTTTGATAGAAAATAGCTAAAGGAAGATGAAGCAACTATAGGTTAGGGCCAGCATTGCATTTTCTTATCCCTATTTGCATTCGCCTGGAGTTTAACATCTCCTGTTGTAGACTTAACTTAAGGATTTGCACCAGTTAATCCATTCTTTCCCACTTCCTATTTTTCCTACTATTGTAGAGCGGCCAGTAAGTGTGAGCTTCCCTCCAACTTCATCCAGGTTTTCAGGCAGTGCCTTCTCCTCCGTCTTCCACAATATTCACTACTCATCCTTCAAGAAACAAAAGAAGATCCCTTCTGCTCTTATGGAGGTAGGACCAACGCTGCCTGAGAAAAGGCAAGGAAACTAGCCTGAGGGGACTGTGCATTAGCACTACAGTAGCTTTCAATCTCATTGTTTATAATTTGTTCTATTTGCTGTGGGATCAGCCCACTCTAGATCCTCTGTATCATGAGATTACATTTTACTCAGTGTAATAGGGCGAAATACAAAACACTCCAAGATCGGATGCTGTCACTATAGTTTCCGCTTCCTGTTAAGACCAAGTCAGCTGAGCCTTTAACCTTCATTTTCCCTATATTTAAATTAAATCTTAACATCTACATCAACCCCAGAAGCTTTTTAAAGGTCTAATAACAAGCTCAGAGGAAGCATCAGAATGATGGGTTACAGAAGTCACTAGTTTGAATACAGGAGTTTGGTAATGACCAGAAACCACTGCCATCCAGCTGTTCTGTGGCCTTACTCCAATCTTTATTTCCAGCGTGGCCCCAAGCATTTCAATCGCACTACCTTCGAATCCAGGCAGTGAGAGTTGTGGACGAGGAAAGTAAAAGCTAGCCCTTTCAAAGCAATTGATGAATGCAGCTGTTTAATTGTGTTGCCTGTAGCTCATCCTGGCCTATCTGAAATAAATGGATGAAATCCTGACCCCACTGAAGTCAATGACAAAACTCCCACTGACTTCAGTGGGGCCATGATTTCACCCAAATATATTGTTTTCCCTTTTAGAACTAAGCATCAGATTCAAAATCTGACTACATTAATAACCTCTGACTATCCATGCTGTCTTCTCAACTAAACATGTAGGGCCCTATCCTGGGAATTTAACTTTAGTTAACTGATTGCAGTGAGATCATGATCTGGACCTTGTGATGTGCATGTAATTACCTTCCATGAAAGGAAGGTACTCTCCTAGGACTCTCTTAACTTTGTTTGTGATGAATTGAAACAAGGATCAATGTACAAACACAAAAACAACAAGGAGTCTAGTGGCACCTTGAAGAATAACAGATTTATTTGGGCATAAGCTTTTGTGGGTAAAACACCACTTCTTCTGCATCTGAAGAAGTGGTGTTTTCCACATGAAAGCTTATGCCCAAATAAATGTTAGTCTTTAAAGGTGCCACCAGACTCCTTGTTGTTTTTGTGGATACAGACTAACACAGCTACCCCCTGATACTGTACAAACACAGTATGTAAAACATTCCTGGAAGATACTGCAGAAACCAACATGACTATCAGGGTTAACCAAGTTAGAGAAGTAACATTTCAACTCCATTTATTTATGAAAAATAGAGATTGCCTCTTTAAACACAAGGTGGCAGCACACATTTATTAAAAGGAAGCTTTCTATCACAATCTTGATCCCAAAGCCATTCCCAGATGACTTACATGGGGTCTGGTGGACTTTCTCATGCTCCAGAACAATAGTATAAATACAGTTAATTCCCCTATTGTGTCTTTGTTATCAAAGGCTGATTTTCAAGTCCCTTCCCTCAGTTCACTCTTTGCTTTTATTCAGATATCAAAATTATTATAATTAATCATGCATACTATGTTGCAGTTATATACCACCTTTCACCCAAGGATCTCAAAAATCTTTACAAGCACTAATGAATTAAGTTTCAACACTCCTTCCCTCCCTCCAGAGCGGCAATTATTTAATAATACTGAAGAAAGGAGTATTCACAGATGAAACTGAGCCATAGAAAGGTGGCTTACCCAAGTTCACACCACAAATCCATTGCCAAGCCAACAAAATCCATCTCTTTTCTGCTTTAGACATAACACTATCCTTCCCCTCTTGAAACATGCACCTTTGAATATATAAAAACAAGACAAGGAAAAGGAGACTCATTCAGTTCCTCAACTGCACCAGTAACAATCAAATGGCTTCAATGACTTGGCTTCCAGAATGATTTAATGGTCTTCTTTGGTGTCCGTGAGAACAGTATTTGGCTTAAGATAAATACTGCAATGCTCTTATGCAGAATAGCATTCTTGTGTTACATTACTCTCAGATTTATGCCATCTCAGTATTTTTGATTCACTCCTTGATTATATTCTTAAGTAAACAGGAATATGTGTAGTTTTTTTTTAAATGGGCCTCGTTTATGGCATGCTTTCTGCTTTGGAGGGGAAAAAGGATTTGATGTCATGAATCCCTTGATTATCCCCTATGCAGGTGGCAGCTTCAGGAGAGGGATCTTCTATCAGTGGCTATCTCAGCAGGTGTAAGAGAGGCAAAAGGCACTGGAAGAAGCTCTGGTTTGTTATCAAAGGCAAAGTCCTCTACACTTACACAGCAAGTGAGGTACTGCCTGTCCTGATATGACAGAATTTCCCAGTCCTGTTGTCAAATCCATTTTCCCACTCCTTACCTGTGACAAATGCAATTTGAGAAGTGTACCTGCTAGTTCGAGGGTTCTCAAATTGGGGGTCAGGACCCCCCAGGGGGGTCGCAAGGTTATTACATCGGGGATCACGTGCTGTCAGCCTCCACTCCAAACCCCTCTTTGCCTCCAGCATTTATAATGGTGTTAAATATATTCAAATGTTTTTAATTTATAAGAGGGGGGTCACACTCAGAGGCTTGCTCTGTGAAAGGGGTCACCAGTAGAAAAGTTTGAGAACCACTGTACTAGTTCTTGTGTAATAGTTCTTTATGAAAATACTTTGTATTGATGCAGTGGCATTATATCACCTCAATATGTTATGGTGTCCCAGGCCTGGAATCCCATCCCATCCCCACCCCTGGTTGGCCTGCTTTCCAAATTCCTTTTCCTCAGTACATTTGTTACATTTCATGCTGATTGTAAATTTCAGTTAGAAGAGGCCTGGTTTAATCTGTCAGGAAGCTATTGCAGATCAATATATAAAGACTTAAAATCCTCTTTGACTTTTCTCTGGTGCAGTACCTATATGTTGTGAGACAGTAGCTGAGAACTGACTGTTACATAAATAAGAGTTCTTTCTAAAGAAAGGAAGTCCCAAGCTTTGTCCAATCAAAGTTCAAAATGGCAGCTTTCCAGGAACTAAAGGACTGCCCCAATTTCACCGGAGTAGACTGGATATGCCCATGGGATAGATTGCAGCTATGAACTTCAATATGGAGGTGCAGCTGGTGAAGAATAGAGGGGGAAGCATGCCATTCTCCATATTTATCTGAGCAGCCTCTGCAGGCCCCTCCTTCATGTGAAAAGGAAGGGTGGCCACCAGCTGCACCTCTATTGTAGAAAAAGAAGATGCAAGGGTGATCTGACTAATGGGCTTCATAACTGAAAGCCCTGAAACAGGGCCACTTTTGCTGAACGAAAGACACAGGGCTCAGAGCACAAGCGACTGTAGTACTACCACTTGGCATGTTAAATATTCAAAGTGCTTTGCAAACATTAACTTTTACACTTTTCGTACCATTAGAGGTAGGGAAGTATTATCATCCCCTATAAATAGATGACACTGAGACATGAAGAGGTTGCATTACTTGACCAAGGTCACAAACCAAGTCAGGGCAGATCAAGGATAAGAACTATAGTAACGTTGACACCCATTCTTCTGTTTTATCTGTTGGCCTAGAGTTCCTCTAGGGTTAAAATAAAACATCTCGAGTCTGATTTTCAGAGGTGCAGGCAACCGATAGCTCCCACTGACAACAGTTAGAGCTGTCAGAGCTTAGCTCATCAGAAAAATCAGGCCCTGAAAACGAAGTCCTGCCCTCATGGAGTGGACGCCTCCACTATTCTTAAAAGGTTGCACATGGTGTTAGCGATAACCCCTCTTGAGATGTGAAAGAGCTGTGGGTGCCTAACTGCATTGTATGCTTCACCTTGGCTATATCTTAAACAGAAAAACTAAAATCTAAAAAGACAAAGAACAAAACCCCAACATTACCTTAATAGAGGTATAGGGACCAAAATTGCAGCCATCAGTAACAGTTAAACTGCAATTCAATTAAGGCTTATTGTTTTTCTTTATTCCACTTGTATAGTAAACTCTCTGACAAGTGAAATTCATGGAGGTTTCTTGGGAGTAAATTAACAATGAATTGCATTACCAGCTCATAAATTGTAAAGTGGTGTCATTAGAAGCAAGCATGCGGTGTGAGACAGTGAAAATGAGTCTGTTAAAAAACCGTGGGGGCTGTGGAGGGAGCGGGAGCCAGAGCTGGATGCCACCAAACACAGGTGACACTCAGTAAATAATGGTTTAGGGGACTGGTAATAACATATAGGATCTTTCATCCCTCTACCCTTGATACAAACCTAGCCAAAAGATAATAGTAACCAGATATTGTTCCCATCAGATCTTCAGTGGCCCATAGATTGGTGAACTAAGTCTGAGCCACATAAACCACTGGTACTAAATTGGAACCTCTTGTTAGTAGTCTAAACAGGGCTGAATGAATATGGAGAATTCCATCCCAGCGGCAGTTCTCCAAGTTCAGGGTTTTGGCAGAGCAATGTGTGAAGGATACTTCCACTGCTGCTGTCAAGGCTGCACCTAGTAACTGGACAACATAATTCTCTAGGATTTTCAATCCAGCACCAGATTATTCATTTTTAATATTATTGTTGCAGAAGCTCCTGGAAGCCCTATCAAGAAGCAGGAATCAGATACTGTAGATACTGGAAAGACATCCGTTGCCCCAAGTAGACTGCAGCCTATTTTGAAGTGTTCCTTCTAAAGTGTGTTTCCCCCTCCACATTGATTTTAGGATAAAGTCGCCACAGAGAGTCTGCCTTTGCTGGGTTTCACAGTTGCCCCAGAAAAGGAGGAAGGAAGTACAGATGCAGTTTTCCATCTTTACCACAAGCAAACATTGTTTTATAGCTTCCGTGCGGAGGATAACAATTCAGCACAGAGGTACTGCGCATGGAATTGCAATTACATACTAACCCATGAAGGAACATAAAGTGTGAGCAGCGCTCTTCACTCTAACATGCCTCTTCCCATTTCCTTTCCTTTTGAACGCAACTCAGCTACAGATCAAACTGAAAAATGCTAATTAGAGCCAATTATAATACAACTGCCTGGATGGCATTAAAGCATCAGGTAGAAATTACTCCATCTTGCCAAGATGGAGATTTTGCTTCTTTGTATAGGTGCAACTGCAGAAGCTCAGATTCATAGATCAACATGTAGCAATCTGTCAGATGTCATTATAAGGATAGCCATATAAATCCACTGTATTTGACTCATAATTTGATCTTTAATGAACATTTTCTGTATTTCACATGCTTTGTTACTAGTGCTGCATGACAAAATCATGGAACTAATGATAAAATGATGCCTTAAAATATACAGGCGGCAGAGTGGGTGGTTATGGAGGTTTGTTTCCCCTCCCTCCTCCCCGCAGTTTCCAGGGTCTCATCTCTCTCAACACCCACTCTCAGACAGCCCACGTAATTTTCACAAGATTACACAGTAGGTCAGTGGCAAAGCTGAGAGTGAAATCTAGGAGTCCTGGCTCTCAGGACCCTGTTCTAATCACCCATCTAAATTTCTTCTTTAGACAGAGCTATTATATGCAATACAGTCTTCTCTGAGCCCTTTGTTTTAACATATGTGTTGGCTTGATCCACAAAATAAAATCTGGCTCCTCTATTTTTTTCTTTTTCAGGTGGATTGAAGCCATGGAAGAAGCAACCATATTATAGCAGTAATCAATCAAGAGGACTTGGAATAAACTCTCAGATTTCTCTACATTCCCAACAGCCCGTTTCTATTTCAAGAAGCTGAGTAGTGTATTTCAAACCACCTGGCTATACGCACTGGATATGAACTGTTTCCAGGTTGCTATCTTTCTTTTGCTTCCTTCGTTTTAAATCCACATTTTTTGCAAGTTGAAAACTTTAAAATAGAGAATATTCATGGTCCTCTTTATGTCTGTGCAAGTTCAACCTGCGCTATAACTCACTCCCATAATCCCACAGTAAATTAAGTTTTAACATCAAGACAAGAAATAGATACAAATTATTTCTGAACTCACATGGAAGTACTGGCTAACAGTAAGTAACAGGCTCAGTTTTACTTACCCTAGAGAACTATCAACTTTCATTTTGTTGGTTTTGGTGTCTATCATGAAATAAGAAACAATGCAGTAAACCACAGATTCTCATTTAAAGCACTTTATTGTTTTATTGTATTACAGCTTCATTTTTTTCCAATGTTTCCAAGGAATTTTGTGGACTGATTTACCACCAGTCCATTAACAAGTACCAGCATGAAGTCGTGCACTGCATACATTAAATTGCTTTCACAGACAATGAATGAATAAATGCAATGCACTATGTATGGTCTGCCAGTACTCCAATAGCTAGGAACCAGGGTGATTACTTACCAATTTATAATTTTACATAAATCACTGTATAATTTATTTAATAAGTTTCATTCTTACCACTACAGTACTTTAAAATGCACTATGATATCTCTCCAAACCCACATGCTGAATACAGTTTTCCCCTGTAGATTGTATCTGACTGAAATCCAAAGGATATTTTAATTTATTGTAAGCCTTAAGACAGTTTTCATTTGACACCAATCGACTTATTAGTGTTAGATTATTTAAATATCTGATAGAATCTTTTTATTTTAAAAAACCATGTTGTTACTGCTTTGATGACTTATGATAAATGTCATCAAAAATTTAATTCCTGTTACCAGCATATAGTAATAGATATGCTGGCTGGCTGAAGAACACTTGTCCGAACATGGTCTGTCAAAGTGATTTGGAATTCCTGTGACTAAATGCTGCTGTGCATCAGCATAGCTCCACTGAAGTCAATGGAGCTATGTTGATTTACACCAGCTGAAGATTTAGCCCTATACGTTGGGTTTTGTTTTGGGGTTTTTTTATATAAAGAGAAAAAAGCAATGTTATAAATATTGTAATAAAATGATTTAATGTCATACATTTCTGATACTACTAGACTGAGGAATAGAATGGCAATTATGGTTAAAGTAGATCTTTGTATAAAATACAACAGTCAAAGATTTACTTACATTAAAATACGTTTTCAGGGGAATTTTTTTTTATTACTATTCATTTTTAATATTTTTCTTCTATAATTTGCATCAAAACCTGAATTTCTGGTTCAAATGGTGACTGGTTAGAATTGTCCATATTTTTTAAAAGTTTACAAAATGTATTCAGGTGAAACTAAATAGTCAGTTCTGTTCATCATTTGAAAAAAATAATTACAAGTTTAAAAAAATCAAATATGGACCTAATCTAACAGTGAAATGCAGTTGTATAGTTTTGTTGATACATTTCAGTCTCTGATACTCTGTTGCATAAAGCACAATCATATGCAAAGAGGAATTAATTATAAAAAGAATAAAGCTTTTGTATTATCTTAAAAGTGGGTAAACTCCAATGTTAACTCTGTACATTTTGTGTTACAACTATGGCCTTGCTTCCATTGGACTGTAAATGTTTTCTTTTGGTTTGTTTGTTGTTTTTAATTCCCCCCACCCTTTAAAAAAAATCATTTGTTGGATTTGCACTGACAAAAACAAAGAATGTTAACGACAAAGTATAACAGATTTAAATCACTAACCAAGATTTCAAACAAAACTGTGCTACAAATAACAGTATTATGAACATTTAGGTGCTGACATTTAGGTCCAGATCCTCAAAAGGTATTTAGGCACCTAACTCTCCCACTGAAATCAATGGGAGTTAGGCCCTTAACTACCTTAAACGATCTGGGCCTTGGTGACTTGTATGAAGTTTTCAGTAACTGACAGGAAATGAATACATGAAAATATTTTGTTGTAAAAAATAAATACAGTGCTATTAAACTTCTTGTTTTAAGTAATGTGGAAAAATTAAAAAACATAATTCCACTTTCACGGGTTTTTCCTTTACATTTTTATTAATACATTCTCTCCCCCCCTTTCCCCCCCCCCCCCCCCCGGCATTTCCACCTTAGCATTTCATACGCTATGGTATTAACTAGCACTTACTTTAAGGCTGTCGTGTCCAAATCTCTAAAAATGGGAATCTTCAATATCACAAATTTTGAAAAGCAGAGAATGAAGGATGGGTCTAATAGTTAGGATGTTAGTTAGGAGTAGGGTTACCAGATGTTCCGATTTTATTCGGGACAGTCCCGATAATCGGGGAATTTTCTTATATAGAGGCCTATCACCCCTCACCCTGTCCCGATTTTTTACACTTGCTATCTGGTCACCCTAGTTAGGGCATGGGAGAGAACTGGGTTCAAGTCCCTGCTTTGCAATAGACGTCCTATGTTACCTTAGGCAAGTCACATTAGCCTCTGACTCCATTTTCCATCTGTAAAATGAGGATTACAGCACTTCCCTACCTCACAGGTAGGGCGCTACCAAATCCATGGCTGTGAAAAATGCATCCTGGACTGTGAAATCGAATCTCCCCCATGAGATCTAGCTATTGTAGGGAAGTAGGAGGGGCAGAGCTGGGGGTGCCCCAGCCAGGGGCTCCTACCATGCACTGGGCTCCAATTACTAGTCCTAGTGGGTCTGGGGACGGACGGGACTTCCTCTTTCCCTGCATAGCCACTCTAGGTGGGGGAAGTCAGACCCACCTCTGGGTACCTTCCCTGGCTGCTGCCTTCAAAGCCCAGCTCTGAAAGCAGTGCAGAAGTGAGGGTGGCAATCCCACAACCCTCCTACGGTGGCGTTCCAACCCCCTTTTGGGTTGGGACCCCCACAGTTACAACACTGAAATTTCAGATATAAACATATGAAACTGACTATTTTTAAAATCCCATTACCATGAAATTGAGCAAAATGGACCATGAATTTGGTAGGACCTTACTCAGGGGTGTTGTGAGGATAAACACATTAAAGATTGTGAAGTGTTCTCATACTATCATAACAGGGAGCCTATACGTACCTACGATAGGATAGCTCAGCTCCAGAACAGTAGTGCTGCTGGGGAACTGAGAAAAGAGAGGCTACCAACAGAGCCTAATTTTTCAAAAGTGATAATGATTTTGCGTGCCTGGAGACACCTTAATATGGCCTAATTTTCAGAAGGCCAGTGCTCCACACTTTCTAAAAAGTAATCATCTTCAGAGCAAAGAGTGTTATTTCTAAGGTAGCCTGCATTACAATTTGCAGCCTGTCTGATTGCACTGAAAGTTATCAGAGAATACATCCATCAGTTTTAAAGCATTTTACTACAACTGACAAAATTATATGTATAGACACAGTAATCAGAAGGCACATAGTATTTGTTTCTCTGATATGAGATCTTTCCTTTCCTGCAAATTACATAGTAAATTGCTCTTAAAAATCTTATTTCATGAATGCTAAGTGATTTGGCTCAAACTCTGCACCTCAAGCCTGGGTAATCCCTTCATTAGGGAGGGAAGAAATGGAATGAAAATATTTATTTTTGTATTCCTTTGCCCAACACAAACATAACAGAAGTGACAGTTCAGCCTACCAAGGATGGAGCATGGCCACATATTCACAGGTCTACATTGGAATATAATGCTTGAATAAGGGCAATGGGAAGCAAAACAAAAAAAAAAAAAGAGCAACAGCTCAATTCTTAAAATCTAGGGCTTTTATACATTTTTGACAGCTAACTTCAGAGCAGTTTCAGAAAGAAACTGGCACATACCTTCAAGTACATTTCAAAATCATTCAAGCTACAAGGCTGAATGTTTGCTCACAGAGACAGATCCCTGAATGATCCTGTGAAGGCACTTCCTTTAAAACTCCCAATATCACCTGCATTCCAAAAAGACATGGTTGTATCAAACTGAGAAAATGTAGCACCAGTGTTAGGGTGGAGAGGGGTACATCAAGTCTGAAGTTGGTAGGAGAGGCCTTCAAGTAGAAGGAGAACTTGACATAATGCTGTAATCCCGTTTCAGTCTATATTGCACAGGACTCTGTTCCTTCTAGAGGTTTCTGCATGCTGCCCACCTATCACCAGCACTTTGGGCATGGATGTAAAAAAAGACCATTTTTCTCTTTCTGTACTAAAAGGAAGGGAAAGATTTCATTCCATTTCAGTCCAACTCTTTAGCCTACTGAACCAAGTCAAACGCACACTTATACAACAGGCAGAAACTACCTTAGTTTGAGTTAAACCAGTAATCCAGACCTGGATTAATGTTGGTAAATCCCTTTTACAAAAGATGAATCATCTCAGAACAGAGGCATTTAAAACCTTGGTTTGGCCTGTGCTGCCCCTATGGGACATACATCTCAGTTATGTCCCTCCTGATTTCCTTGTGGATAATAACTGTCACCACTTCTCTATAATCTCTATCACGTTATTCTCTTTTGTACTTTTTCAAGTGTTGCTATTATAGTCCTTGTAATAAGGCACCCAAAACTGTGCCCAATACATCAGACACTTTGTCAGTAGCATAGTGATCTGATGTTATTCCAGTGATTTAGTCCAACATTGTTTGCTTTGCTAACTGCTGACATTTTAACTGCTATAACAACCAGTCTTTTTACCTACATCTTGCACTATATGCCTATTTAAAACATTTAGAAACAAATTTTTTTAAGTCCTCGACAGTTTTTTCCATGCCAAATTATACAAGCCACTTGTGTGTCTAGCTCAGCACTTTTTCTTGTTGCTTTGGAACCATTCTTCCTCCTATTGGCATACTAACACTGTTGATATGTAAATATGTACACCTTCTCATAAATCCTCTCTTAGATCATTATTGGCTACCACTCCCCAGGACTCATGCTATGCCATATATATTAACATTGGGCCAGATTCTGGTAACTTTGCTCAAGGTGAACAGCACTACTCCACAAGCAGTCCCATTTACATCTCTATTTAAAAAGAGCCCAAATGAAGAACAAATTACAGAGCCATGTGAATTGTATCACAGGAATACCACTAGTATAACTGATTAAGAACCAAGTGGCCTTAAGCTACCTTTGTGGACTGCTCCAGGCATCAATGCAGCCCTGGGATAAATTACAACAGCTTCAGAGGCTGTTTAATGTATGGCAGACTCCCCACAGCTTTGCAGTCCAATCATTGATATCCCTGATCTGGTACTGGCTTGCCTGTATGATGGGATGTATGG